TTATGCCTAACTTGTATGGTGACATCCTCAGGTATGGAGATCTCAATTTTAACTAGCCCAGCACGTACAACACTGTTAGTTTCCTGACAGTTATTCAGGTTACATGCTAGCCAGATGAACGATCATTTTCTCCCTCCAGAGCTTAAAACACAAATCAGACTCTCAGAATGATAAGAAACAACGTATTATCATACTAGTTATCCGTATGTTGTTGGGAGAGAAATTATGATGAGAACATTCCTCGTAGTAAAAGGGAGTTTTTGCTGATGGAGGCTATGAGTGTTATTCCAGTAGGGCTGGGTGGAGGATAAATCATTCCAGAAGTGTGAAGAAGTTAATGGCTCCAGTTGTAATACAGATTGCTTGGATTGACAATGGGGAAAAAACTTGCCACTTGTCAGCACTGAAATAGAGTAAGATGACTGTGGAACCACCACGTTTAGAGTGAACTAGCCATATAGTGAAATGATTCTGAAGACTGAAATGTATAACATCTCAGTGTCCTACCATTGTTTGGGTTTTGTATTATATCTTTTCACCTTGGGATTCCTGTTTGGAAAAAAAAACGTGCTACAGTCAACCCGAAGGCCTGAAGGCAGAGTCCTTCAGCAGGCTTTCATTCTTGAAGGAAGCTCCAATAAATTTGAGTCGTCTTTTGAAGAAGGGCAGTCTTGTCACTGGGGAACCTCACTCACTGCGTTTTGTTCAACGTGAGCATAACACCAGGGAGGTCTCTCAGCCTCAGTAGATGCAGAAGGAATTTTTACTCCAAAGCACTGAGCATCTTAAGTGAAAAGTTTAAGAGTATCCATTTTCTTTCCCAAACAATTACAACTACAGCTGATCAATTTAATGTAAAAGATTGTCGCACAAACTCCTCCTTTCTGCTTTTTAGTCCTCTGTTAGCTGACTTGTAGACAATGAAATGGTAGGCTAAAAAATGTAGATGTGAGATCTTTATCAGTTTTTTCAGCTTTGAGAGGACAGTATGAAAACTGTGGGCACAGTTCATTTACCTTTCTCCATGTTTATTTTCAAGGAAATCAAATGCAAATTCCTGATGTTTGATCATCTACTGATGTCAGAATTATGACTTATGGGCTGTTCACTAAAGAGAGGAGTAAAGCCAGTGTTGTGCCACTTGGAATGTCCTTTAAGTTACATACACTAACCTTAACCAGAAGTTCTTTCACCTGAGCAAATTTTTTCCATGATTTTTAGAAGGATTTTATATACAAAAAGGGATGTGTGGCCTTTTAAAGGGAAATGAGACTTAAATATATATAGGGTACTCCATATATATATTAATATATATATATATATTAATATATATTATATATATATATACGTATATATAAATACAGTCTGAACTTTGGCTAGTTCCTGACACTTCTAAAGTATTCTGTACTTCTCTTGTGCCTGTTTCTTAATTACTATACTGTATGGAATCTCCTTTTCATTTCTCTCTATTGAAATGGCTCTTGCTAGTAGTTCTGCAGATTCTCAGATGTTCCAGCAGTGTAAGAAGCTAACAGCATCTGTTCTTTCTCAGTGTTATTCTTGTTGGTAGTTAGAGTAGGTTACTGTTGCAGTAAAATGAGAAACAAAGATAATTTAATACAGCTCTGAGAGGCAACTACATGGAAAAACATAAGGATTTTTTTTTTCCAGTGACTTGTGTGCTGGATTGATTGGTGGTCTTGGAGTAACACCAAGTGGAAATATTGGTGCTAACGGAGTTGCAATTTTTGAATCGGTAAGTCTTCTTACTCAAGATTCAAACCGATCAAGTAGTAATAACTACTTTTGTCTCCACTCGAGAATCTAAAAGCTTGTCCAAGATGCACAATGTAGGTATATTAAAAAGTAGTTCTCTGTAAAGCTATGTTTTACTGCTAAGATTTTGAAGTTTTACTAAAAGAATAAAGCATGTGTTACATGTAAGTTTTAGCACGTGCTTTTATTGGCACTTTCACCCTCTTTCTTAAACACTTCATGAAATAGAACTTAAGAGGCACTAGCTGAACTCGTTCCCCTTTTCTAATGCCTTTGGACTGAATTGTTCCACTCTCTCCTATCTTCTTTCTCTCCTATCTTTCTTTCCATTAAACATATCCCTGTGAAGTAAGTTCCATTTCAGCATGCTTGTGTGTGAGGATTATGTTTCAAATGTCCTCTGTTAATCGCCATATTAACTTTGTAACAGACAGATTCACTTTTCTTTCTAGGTTCATGGAACAGCACCTGATATTGCAGGAAAAGACTTGGCAAATCCAACTGCTCTTCTCCTGAGTGCTGTAATGATGCTGCGTCATATGGGATTACACAAGCATGCCACAAAAATTGAGACAGCTTGCTTTAATACAATTAAAGATGGAAAGGTAATATAAGAGCATGCAAATACATAAAACTGATTCAAATGATACCCTGTTGTAACAAAAATTAACTCGGAACATTAACGCTAAGACAAAAGATGCCCTGCTTTGCCGGCCTGAATCACATGAGCAGCACTGCTGCTGTTCTGTGCTTGTTGTTATGTTACCTCTGGTGGTATTAAGTTTGCCCTCTTCAGCAACAGGGATGCTCTGTAGCTCTCCTCCTGCCTCAGTTTCCGCAGCTCTAAAAGCTAGAACTGCTAATCTGTTTTCCATGAAAGGGATTAGAGATCTGAGTAAATAGTGGTATTTCCCTTGTGAAGTTTATGGCGCACTAACAGTTAAATCTAGACCTTAGAGCAAAGGACAGTCATTTGCCTTATGTAGGCTTAATCACTCATCTCAATTCTGACTCTTAATACTTCTGTTCCTGTTTTTGAGGTCACTTCTTTTACTCTTTCTTCCTATTTACCTCAGCTCCTTTTTAATCACAAAATAAGTTAGGGGCAAAATGATATCCAGTGATTACTTCTTCTCTGTGCAGGTGTACCTGCCTGCAGATTCAAGACTCAGATAGTATTGGTGCAGGGGAAGGAGTTGTGCTCTGAAACCTGACCTGAATTTCTGCGTGTAATGCTGCTGCTGGAAGTTAAAGTAGTTGAGTGCACCTTTCCAAAATACAATTGGAAAGATTCCAAAGATTGCCCTTACGGAAAATCAGCGTTTAGCTGCTGTGATTATCTGGGGCACAGGCATACAAAGCTGCTTTGCAATGAAAAAGAACAAGCCTGCTTAAACAAAAAACTGTCATTATTTCATAAGTGGTCTGCTTACAGCTGTCTTGCTGCGTGTAGGAGCCAGTTTAAAAAACAAACAAACAAACCACTAAACTTACAAATGAATAGAGAGATGCTTCTGTACAGTTCCCATTTACTGCTCTGGAAATGAAATCTTCCATCTGCAGGTTAGTAATTGTACAGAAGATAACAGCACAAGTTGCGTGACATGGCTACTTGTTCACTAGTTGCTGTGTTGTGATTACACGCTCACAAGGGAGAGAAGCTTTTCGAATTGAAAAAAGCATAATGCAAAGCATAAAGCAAAATGCCAAGTTCCTAAAACTGTAACCTTTATTGCCTTTCATGCTTGCCCTTTCTTTCCTTCATCCCTGCCCCAAGCCATTCAATTAAGATCTGCATGGATGTGATAAAAGGGGAACACTAATAATTTTTAAATTACCTCTCAAAACTTTTAATCTGTCTAGTTTGGGCAAACAACATTGACTACTTCAATTTATTTTCATTTTACTGTCTCCATGCTGCCAGAGAGGAGTTGTCCTTAATAAAGAAAGTTTAACTACCTGTTTTTCAATCCCTTAACTCAACCAAGCAACCTTGGACACCCGTTAACATACAGCATTTCAAGAGCTGTGTGTGTGCTTTTCCTCTGTGGGCTTCCTTTGTAAAACACATACCCAAAGCATTACTGAATGACATTCTCTTAAATTAGTTGATGTTGTACTGAGCCATCATGTATGAATTTTACTTCCAAAAGGCAGACTTATTAGGGAAGACTTAAGTCCATATCTCTTAAGTACATTATGATATGGCCATAGGGACTTTGGATAGCATTGTCCAAATTCACTTCTGCGGGTAGTTAAAAGATAAATCTCACTGAGATCTGAACACTCAGATAACAATGCTCAATGCTCCTACTCATTTTTCCCTACCTGCCTCAGTTTGCATTGTTGCTGTTAACGAAGGCAATGTAGAATGCAGAGAAACCCAGACTTGATGTATTCCTTCTCACCTATACCCAATACCAATACAAAACATAGATGATAGGACTGTGCAGTGGTATAACTGGCTCCATTAAACATTACAGTGATAGCATTTTTTCTTCCTTCAGGCTTTGACAAAAGACTTGGGAGGTAATGCCAAGTGTTCAGAGTTCACAGAAGAGATCTGCAGCAGAGTACGGGACGCAGAGTAAACTTCTCGTTTGATCCGTATTAACTCTGAAAAGATGCATCACAAACATACAGTATGTAACCTGGTATCTCTGTGCGTATATTTTGCTCATCTCTATAAAGCAAACTTTATAGGGAAGGCCTCTTCATTAATAAATTTAGTCCCCATGGCTACAGATGATGCTTGTGCCTGCTTTCAGTGGACTTTAAGTGCTCTGTCTTATTTATTTCTACCTGGTAAGCATTTTTATGTAAGAGAAGTATTTTTTTGCCACTGTAACTGTACCATTTGCTGTTTCAACTAGATGGCTTTTATTTTTCACAAAGAAAAATTATGTGAATATAACATAACCAGAACTAGTGAATTGCTGCAGCACCTTAATGCTTAGAGCTATGTTACTGGTCTTACTGAAATTTAAAGGACAGGCTTTTGGCCTAACAAGAGCACAAGACAAACATTATAAAAAGAAACGGGTATAAACTAATTTCCAATAGCAATTTTATGTTAAAAGCAATGAAGGAACACTTCTAGGTGTCTGTTGATTGATGAAATACAGCTTTGCCTTCAGAGGGCATGCAAAAAAGAAATGCAAAATCTTAGAGATTTAATCTGTTTATGTATATGGAAAAAGAAAAAGACATCAAACCAGCTAGATGTGAGAACTGATATTAACAAAGATATTTTTCAAATCTGTATCAAAATAGTTCTTACAAGTTTTCCTTTCTGAAACACAGCCTAATTTACAAGAGAGTTGTAACGAGAGTAAATTAGAAAAACTCACTCCTGCTCTGTATTATGAAGGGAAGTTATTAACTTCACCAGTTTATACAAAATATTTCATGGCTTCTGCTGGATTGCTTTTTGTGTTATACTTTGTTTTTATGAAGCCTGCTCAGTGTGTCTCACTGATTCTATTCCATAAACTCTGAATGTAAAAGACTAGTCCTAATGGAATGAAGACAGATTGAAGGTCTGGCTCTGGGTGCCTACGTTCCAGAAATACATTTCATCCCTATTCAGGGATCAGAGACCTTTTCTTCTCCTGCTTCCTAAGCTTAGTAAGCACCAAAGCACCTCTTTTTTTTCCCCCTCCCTTCTTCATCACACACAGGTAATCATGAGCCATTCTGACCTGGATTTCTTAAGGGTATGCTCCTTTTAGCATATCCTTCAAGAAAATGCACGTTTGTAAAACTCGTGGCTAACACAAGTTTATACCTACTGCCAGAGCCAGATGTCTTAAAGCTCAATTGTATTTATGGGTATTACACCTCTTGGTTACTTCCTAGTGAGGCTGTTCAGGCTGGTTATTTCAGAATCAAAACTATTTTGAATAATGTCTTCTAGCAGAACTCTATGAAGTAAGCAACCCAGCTTTTTTGTACAGCCTAACAACGTGTTGGAGGGGGGACAGTAAGCTTTATTTCTTGTGCTCTCTGCTTTTGGTGAATAGGGTATCATTTCCTTGTGTTTTACAAGCTGCTGCTTCCTTGTTTCCTCTAGATTAATCTTAAGACCTTTTGCAGTACCATTACGCACAAAATGGGGAAAAAATAAACTTTTTGAAGTCCTGCTGCTTGTTGTCTTGATAATCCCAGGCTCCTACTTTGTCTGATGCATTAAGCTGATTGCTGACACTTGCAACAAACTCTGAAGTTTATAGGATGTTTAAGACTGATCGTGAAACTTCCATTGAAACAATATTCTGCCCTGCATGGTTAGTTGGTTTTAAATCAAGAAAGATGGCTGCAGACTCCCTAGCTGTTATCCATTATAACTCTCTGCCACCACTGACTGAACTATCAGCAGCCCTTTTAACCCTTCATATAGCAATTTATATTTTCTAAGGGAAAGAAGAAATGCTCCCGTTTGTCAGCATTAGAACAACATCAGTATTGAAACATGAAAGTAGAGTTGCAATACTCTTATTTAAAATGTGTTAATTGTGCTTTGAGGTGAGAGCTCCCATATTACCTACTTTGTATCTTTCCATTTTCAGGAATTGTTTTCCCAACTTTGAGTGTTGGTTTTAGAAGAAATAGTAATGCTTATTTCAACATGGATTTAAGAAATGATGACCTGCTGCTTTTAGAAAAGTCTAGCTGGTATAGAAGTGGAAGAGGGTTACAAAATGCTGAGCTAGTGAACAGAAATACACTTTTCCCTAGGATGAAAGAAAACAGGCCTTGGATTTTTTATTATTGTTATTTTAAAAACTAATCAGCTTTATATCCAGAGTGGTAGAACAATTTTACTAAACAGGTACTGCTAACTAGTCATTTACCACATAAGCTCCAGGCAACCTCCTGCAGAACAAAAAAATTATAAGGGCAGATCACTGTTTTTTCTGTTTCAGTCTAGAGAACATATACTCACTTCACACAACCTATGAGGATATCATTAATCTTGCTCATTTAGGGCATAATGTAAAATACATATTATAGAATGGGCACGCTGTACATAACAGGACAAACTATCAGGTGAGTACTGGGAATAACTAAATTAACATAGCAGCTTTCTAGTGCATGACTGCAAAATAAAAACAAGCATTAGTTTTCCTTAATGATTTTGATTAGGAAATACTTCCTGTAGCTTACAAATCTTTCTTAATGCTCCGATGAAAGGCTTCTTACTCTTCATAGAAGGAGTCCACTTCATTTTTGTATTTCTTAAGCACAGTGAGCCGTTTTAACTTCATGGTGGGACCTTAAGAGAAGGAGTTCATCATAAAAGCAGAAATAGAAACAAGAATTCCTACCCTGAAGCTTTGGTTTTGGATTTTTTGCTACAGAGCCTTTGTTTGGAAGAACACCTACTTCATTAGTTTAGACCTCTGCCAAAAGTGAGCAGTAGTTGTGGCACATGGCTGCCTTTGTGTAATCGTTAGCACTTCAAAAGCAGCTAAATAAGCAGGTGATTATTTAACTATTACTGTTTTTATTTTTTTCCTATTAAAAGACTAGTGGTTTTGAAACTTTGTTCCCAATTTGGGTAAATTCCCAATTTACTCACAGAGGCAGGTAACATGGCTTTGGGCTCTGCTGTCAATCTTTCATTTTGTCCTCTTTTTTTTATTGCTGTTAATGGTCACTTTTCAGAATTATTACTGGAAGTTATTGAGACTTTAATGCATAAAAAATAATTAGAATTGCATAATTACCCAAAGCAATCTCAAACTTAGCTACAGTGCTGTACTCACTTAGATGACCACATATTTCTACATGTATGCATAGCAAAAACTGCAGATTTTGTATTCTGTAAACGCTGCTTAATTTTTCTTCCTTCAATCCAATAATCATATACAGAATTTGACAAATAGAACTGTATTTGGATACTTAGGAATCGGCAGCCCCTCTACTGTGTGTACACCTTTAGTATAAATCACAGAATCATTTGAGTCAGAAGGGACCCTTAAAGGCCATCTCATCCGACTTCCCTGCAGTGAACAGGGACACTCACAGCTCTAACAGTGCTCAGAGCCCCACAGCCTGACCTTGGGTAATGGACAGAGTATCCACCACCTTTGTGGGCAACCTCTGCCTGAGCCTCACCACCCTTACTGTAAAAAACTTCCTTACATCCGACCTAACTCTCCCCTCCTTTAGATTGAAACTATTTCCATTGAACTGTCACAACAGCCCTTGCTAAAGAGTCTGTACCCTTCTTTCTTTTAGCCCCCTCTTAGATACTGCAAGACTGCTTCAAAAAAAAAAAAAAAGCAGCAAGTCTTACCTAGTTCTCCCCCAGAAATAGAGAAGTCTCTCGGCAGCACTATCCATTTTTGAATGCAATGAACCCTATTAGTGGCATTCATGTTGACTTTGTTGATTCCCTCCTGAATGGCCTGGTAGATCGCCTGATCCCTTGTCGCTACAATCTCTGATACTGTAGTGGCTTTACTGCCAATCTTTTGGCAGAAATCTCTGGCTTGTTCAGTGAGGATGTCAGTGGGATCCGATGTGTCTGGGTCCAGGATGCACTAAAATATCAGATGAAGATAATCATCAAATTCTTACTTCTACAAGGCATTATCAAATGATTACTTGATAAGGTTCTCCCTGTCTGGTAAGAATAAAAGCAGCCCAGCATTAATACCCAAACGTTCCATAAGCCTGAAAAAGCAGGAATCTCTAGAGATATCAGTACTCAGCTTTTTTTCTATACAGCTACCAAACGCAAAAATTTCTGGCTTATATGCAGGTAATGTGAACAGACCAAAACCACATCAATTAAAGTCCGTCCAGCAACCTTAAATTTCTACCAACTTTTCCAAATTAGTCCATTGTTGTAGGGGGACATTGAATTACTGTGATATAATGTAAATAACTTGAATCAGAAGCATTGTTTGAAGTTAGAACTTTTAAATATAAAACATTTAGCCAATCACCTAACCATAACAAGATCAGACCGTCACAATTTGACCTGTAGTTGCCATACATTGCTTTGTTGAAATAAAGCCTTCCCATTTAATTCTTGGCCTTCCTTCTAACAGTTCGGAATCCTTCTTATTTTGTTAGGGTACAGGTGTGTAGTTTCACTGAAATCAGTATTAAGACTGGTATACCTTTAGGGTCAGCAACATGGACAAAAATTTCTTTTTATCTCCAATCACCATGGCGTTACTAACAATTGGGAGTTCTTTTTTAACAGCATCTTCAATTGGAATGGGAGGCACATTTTCACCTCCAGCTGTAATAATCAAATCTAGACCAAAAGAAAAAGAAAGGCTATTACTTGAAATCTAATTTCAAAGAGCAGGCTAATTCCAGGATGGCTCTACCTTTCTTACTTTTATATGCAGAACAATACTTTCCAAAGAGAAGCAAGCCTATTTCAAGTTATTAGTCTGATTGCCTTCAAAATAACTGTTGTAGATATTGATTCTTTCCAAGGATCTGCTTAAATGTTCATTTTTCCCTCTATATAACACATTTACCCCCACATACACACAGTGTGTTTTAAACAGCATCATGTTTTCCGTGTAATCCAGTAACAGGTTAACAACAGGCATATATATATATATATATATATATATGCAGTGCAATATCCAATGTATACGTGCAACATGTTGTATAATGTGGACTTTTTTTTTTGAACAATCATTTCTTCCAGACTAACATAGGATCCGCTCTCTAATTCACCATTAACTCACCAAAAGCAGTTCATGGTTAACATCGTGATCAAAGCTAATTCTCTGAGCCACCAAGAGGGGTCAGACAAAAACAAGTTAATAGTGTAGGAAAGCTGCACAGAAGCAATGCAGAAAGAAGAGGAGCATGATGAGGGATAGGTGAGATTTTAGAGACAGTTCAGGATGGAAGCAGTCATTCCTGCCCTACTTTTGACATGACTTGCATTTATTGACAGACTGACAACTTAATATTTTTAAGGTCTGTAAACAATAGAGGCACTAACTTTACTGATAAGGGAATATTCAGCTCTTTTTGAATGCATTAATTCTGAAGTATAATATGTGTAATTATTGAAGCCATTGTGAAATTAAGAATTATCTAAGCAAATTGCAATTCTGTTTTCATTGCACTGGTGGCTTCTCACTGCCCTCAAATAATGGTCTTGGCAGCAGTTCAGTAACATGCTTCAAGAAATAACGCAGAGCAATGGCAGACCAGTCCTGTGTGGAATAATCCATCTTACTGCATACATTAAGGAATGGGTTGGTTCCTCTTGGTTCCCTTGTCAGTGTAAAAGAATGTAGATGTAATCAAGCAAATATGGCACCCTTTCAGCACTCACACATTTAGTCCTTAACACCTCTACTGCTCCATAAAGAGCAACTACGAGAAATAACTTCCAGTCTACACTCAGCATTCTGGTATGGAGTAGCCATTCATTTCACAGTTATGAATGTTATTTCTCTCCCTAGTTAACATAGTGTATGCATCAGAGGAAGCATGCATAGTGTTTCTAGAGTAAAAGACTTCTGTCACACCACAGAAATACAGCAAAGTTATTGTGTACCTAAACTACAGAGATCTTTTTCTTTATTTTCCTCTCCTTTTGTCTTACTCCAATTTTTTGTCCTAGATCTTCTCACAAGCTCCAGGAAATTTTATTTTTCAGTCTGAAATGTCAGCTTTGTCACAGCTGACAACAGAACTGTAATGACTGTAACAACTTCTCGCACATGCCTACAGATAGTCCCTATCTGGGCTTCTCTAGCAGTATCTTTGTGCTTCACAGCTTCTCTGGATCTCAGATACCAAAAAGCAGTTTCTATGGTTTCATGCTCAATATAACAAATCATAAAACTTGTAAGACCAAAGGAATTAAAAGGAGGAAGTCCTGTTTCAGTTACTAGAAGAGAAGCTCCTTTACTATCTTCTATTGCATTTACCTTAGTTAGACATTAAAACTGAAAGTAAATTGCACAGGTGGTTCTTTTATCTCAGTCTTCCTAACCTGAAAGTAGAGCAACAGTTGTTAGTTCAGCAGTGAAGGAGGATGTGAGTGCAACACAAATGCTAGGGCAGAAGGAGACTAGAAGGTGCTAACCACTAAACTAAGCAAAATTGAATCGGATAAGAAAGCAAACTAAGAATCAAAGTAACTGTATCTGGTGCAGCCTATTAATAGTACCTACTTAAGTCCTGGTGCCTAATAGAACACCATGTTACTCTCTGACAAATTAATTCACTCATGTCATCCCCTTAATGATTCATCATACATTCTATGATGATAGTCACTCAGTTTTTAGATCTCAAGTTTACACATCTGACAAATCAGACTCTATGAGCATGTATTTTGAGAAAGTACTTCAGTAACCAATGACCAGTTTTATTCATGTGAGACTTCAAGCTATGCACTGTAAGAGCACCTAGGTTTATTGTCCTGTGCTCTCAAATTTCAATACTATTCTCTGTAAATGTATCACAAAAAGCAGAGGAATCTAGCTCTGACCTACAGCAATAACTGTTACATAATAGAGTTGCCTGCTGTTAACAACTAAACATTCTAGTGTGCAATTAAGACAACTGAGCAAGATCCAGAAGGAGACTGGACAGCTTAGAGGATCATTAGAATCAAAGAAGACACACTAAACCTGCATTGTGATTTTATATTATTTGTGATTAATAATAACAAGGTCTGGGAGATGGACAGCCTCACTGTAGAAACTGAGGTATCTGCACCTGTTAAAAACTAGAAGGAAACCTTTCCTGAATGGGGAACACCATCAGAAACATCCTCATCAGAAAGCTTATTTTACTTTCTGTTAGATTAATGTAGCTGTGATTAAAAGACAGTCACTAAATGAGACAAGCCACATCTAATATATAACTGAACAGTGCTGGATAGTTATTATAAATGTGATGCAAGATTTTCCTCATTACCTTTAATTCTTCCAGTGACATAGAGAAAGCCATCCTTGTCTAGTTTTCCTAAATCTCCAGAATGCAGCCACCCATCCTCATCAAAGGCTTCTTTTGTTTTGTCTTCCATGTTTAAATAACCCATGAAAACAGTCCTTCCCCAGAAACAGATTTCTCCATTGCCTTCTGTATCTTCATTCACTAATTTCACTCTGCAGCCAGGTACTGGTTTACCACAGCTTTTGGGGAAAAGAAAACACACAAGGAGCACTGAAATACTTAATATTGACAGGATATCTACAATGCCAACTCCCTGGTCCTATCAAAATGTAAGCAATGGTAACACCCTGCTGTAATTGTTTGAAAGGAATGAAATAACTTACTGGGGCTAACACAATAGCTGTGTATCTTGCTCATCCTTCCTGCTCTTTTCCTCTCTGTATCTTAGAGGTTTTGTTTTGAAAGTTACCCTACCGTAGGTCAGAGCTACACTCCACATCCCACTTAGTAACTGTCCTGCAGAAAATGCTGCAGATCATTTTCAGTGCTCCTGACTTGGCATGCTATGGAGGCAATGCGTTCAGTTTCTAACCTCAAAGTGGTAACATCTTTGCTGAACTCAGTTGTACACTTCTCATAAATATAATGAAATATAATAATAATAACTGAAAAGTTACCTGTGCTGCCTGTAGTTATACGGCCCTGAGAGGCAGTGTGGGCCTGTGGTCTCACTCATGCCATAGGCTTCATACAGGGTGATGTTCAGACCCAAGAAAAAATACAGCGTTTCTGTATTGAGAGGAGCAGCACCACAGAAATGCTTCTGACAGCTAGAAAAACCCAGTGCACTGCGTATTTTAGCAAGCACCAAGTAGTCTGCTAGCCTTGTCCAAAACTGTTTCAAGTCACTGCTGAGTAGAAAACAAGAAACAGGAAGAAACAGTAAGTTGGATGAAGTCATATAGTTAGCAAGACAAAATCAGAAACAGGGCTTTTTTAGATATGTATTTGTCATTAGTGTGTGGAAGTTGACAGATTCACATCAGTAATAATTCATTCTTCATTTATTCAGTGTCTTTCATTGCAAGTGAGCACCAACTCTTACAGCTCCTGAATACTGCTAATTCAGAATGCATCTACAAAACCATATTGCATAAGACAATACTTTTGTCCTCCTGATTCTTCATCAGTTAAAATAATCTCTGAGAACCAATACCAGTAAAATCAGAAATCTGCAAGACTCTTTCAAGAAGCTGAAAGATCAGACAAGCAAATTGCCATCGATGCACTGCATATTTGAGAATCGCATGTTCTGTAAGCCATTTCATACTTCACTGTGTCCCATCTTAAGAACTTCAGAACAGGAAAGAATTGTGAATTAAGATTTTCCCCTTTTTCACACAGTTCACTCAAATTCTTGCCCTTTACCTAAACCAGTAAGCAGCCAGGACTTCTCCCAGCTGAAAACCAACCAGTTCAATTCCCAGAAGGCAGAAAGTTAGGCAATGCATTCTCAGGGAAGATGGAGGTTGGTTTTATGATTATCCTCCCGTAATTGACAGCTACACCTTCCCTCTTACATTGTATTTGCTCTCTTGCTAAGTCAAGTATTACTTATTTATATGTAGAGAGTATCATTGATGCTTAAGAGCTTATGACAAACAGACAAGCTACTTTCTTGTACTCCAGGATGCTGGAGACCTCTCTCATGACAATACATACCTGCTTGAGCAGTTCAGGTTTCTCTCTAAGCTCACTGACATAGCCCACGACAGCATTTTCTTCTTCACAAATCCTGACTGAGCAGAAGCATCCTTTAATTTCTCCATGATTTTCTCCCATACTCTGGGAACTCCCATGTGAGATGTTGGTTGCACTTCTTTTAGTGTGTTGATTAAACTGCCCTGTCAAGATCATCAAATCATTTCAAAACATTGCAGAAGGCCCACATCGCTGAAGAGGTTTGGTAATGCAGCCTGCATTCTCTCTACATTTCCCCCAGAAAATTGCTTACACTTCTTTCACAGTACAGCCACATTTGTCTGCCTAAAATAGAAGCTTACTGATCTAGACTACAAATTTTGTGCACACATTCAGAATATTGTGAGCATAAATTAAGTTAGCTGTTTAATCAGGGAAAATACTGGAACTGACTTCTTCTCAAGCTCTGTTGTATCAGTTATGAGTTTTCTGTGGTGACAGGCAAAGGACCAGTTCCAGACACACTCCTAACTGCAGAAAGAGACTCCTTCTGTGCAATTTCACCACAGAAGTAAATGGAGTTTAGAGCACTGGATCATGAGTCTAATGGATTTTATTTTTCTGTAATTCCTAAAATTCTGGACTCTCGAGACTCTCGATCTTTATCTTCTGTGCCTCTTCTAAGATCACATTTCCTCCTTCAGATGTTTTCCTAGATTGAAAAGTGCAATCTTAATCAGGTGCAGTGGAAGGCAGATACCTTCAGAGCATCTGGCTCAGCAAAATAAACTTGCTCTCCCCATTTGATTCCAGTCCACAGGTCGTATATTTGTGCAGCTATGTGGCTGAGTGGAAGATAACTGACTATGGACTCCTGTTGGACCTCTGCGGGTTGCATATCTCCTGCTCTGCTGCAATGTGCTGACGTCCACGTTATCTATTTGAAGAAAAAACACAACACATTATTTTTTCCTTTTAACACAAACTAAGGATCTTCATGATACACTAATAAAACTGTGAAGAATCTGCTCACAGAACTTGTTGAAGACATTGCAATCTTTGACAACACACCAGGTTGTTATTCCTCTGGTGCCACTCAAAAAGCAACATGAACTCATCTAATAGCAACAAAGGTTTGCACATAACAAAGTAAATGTGCTTGACTGGCTTATGAACACTACCAACTCCCCGCATCCCAGTACTGCAGTTAGGAAGGCAGCCACAGCCTAGATGGATAAGGAGAAAAAGTGATCAGCCTTCTGCAGCTTTCCCTCCTGTGCACACTTCCTATCACACTGGCACTTCTCACTGGCATGCATCTAAATGCCCACCTGATAAATAACAATCTTTACTCGGTGATCAATGAGCTCACAGGATAGTGAAGTAACTGCAACAAGCTAATTGTCTCATACTTGTCAAAGCACGGCTAAGCACAAACGAGGATGATAGCAGCAGTATCCTGCTCCTCCAGAAGATTCACTGCAATGGTTCATAGAGGGCCTCCCCCACACATACAAGCAGAAGCGCATGTGTGAATAATGCTGAAGATTTGCTGCTTGACTTCTTAGTGAAACTGTATGGTCTTTCCCCCTCTTCTTTCTGATTCTTATTTTATCTAAGATGCAGTCGAAGGATGCAATACTTGTTATCAGAATGTACTGCATTCAAGACCCACACAGATGTGTGGACGTGAGGAAAAGAACATATGTCCATGACAGAAAGAAGGAAACAGCTTCCTTACAGGAGTCTAATTAATCTAAACTAGCTAGGTTAGGATGCTCGAAAGGAAATTATTTCAACTTGATAGGGAAAAAAATACAAATCACATGCGATACTCGCTATCACAGTATATTCTTTTCTTCAAAACAAATGTGAAGGTTACCTTGAGAGTATGTTTTGCCTAAAAAACAAACAAACAAAAATAGAGATTCTCAAGAAAAGCTTTTAGTGAGCAGCATGCTGTCAGGACAGGCCACTCCAAATTTAGGTGGCAGCATTGGTCAAGCAGCTATCAGAGACTTAAAGTAGGCAGAGAGGAATGTCCTTGAAACGTGTCTGTACGGATTGCTCATCCTCTTTATCCTCCAAAGCCTCACAGCACACAGGCATGCTCATAGCAGATCCACATGAGTGCCTGTGACCGACTCAGCACTGGTTTTTACAGATGGACAGTGGCACACTTCTTTTGACTAAAGAAGGCAGCAGCAGATACAGGCAAGGCATGTTTTCCACTGTTGGTCAACATAAAAATAGCCCGTTTGTGATCATCAGCCAGGAATAGTTTGGCAGCTAACATGGAAATGACACCAGACTCTTTTGAGACAGAAGAGCATAGAATTTGCAACGCCAGGTCGAACTTTTTGTCTATCAAGTCCACCATGTTCTCCTTCAACATATTTCTGTGCTGATTACATACACGGGAGTGAATTGCTCGTACCTGTAATTGCTTCTACATTCTTTTAAGAGAAGTAACAGTGAGTAACAAAATGTTATTCATAATAAACTACACTCAAACTTGTGAAGTGTTACTTAGAATGGAGTTTCATTTTTCACCATGCTTATACATTATCAAAACCAGCTGACTGCATTTTCAGTGTTGCTTTGTAATACACTATCTGTGTTGCAAAACTAGACCTCTGAAAGTCTTCTGCTATGTAGCAGTCTTTTCAAAACACAAGAACATGTATCCTCTTATTTCGCTATTTTTTGTGCTCAAGGAAAAGTCTGAAGTACATACATTGTCATGACTCAGCATAGCTCCTTTTGGCTTCCCAGTTGTTCCTGATGTATATATTAGCACGCAGCATTGATTTGGCTTTTGGGAGTTAATAATGTCATCTAAAGTAGCATCAGATATGTCATCTCCCAGCTTCAGAAACTCTTCCATCTAGAACATGCAACAGAAAATACAGGATATCATAAGACTCCTTGCAAGTCAAAAACATGAAGTTACTGAATTTGTCTAAAAAAAACAAACAAACAGAAAAGTTCAATGTCTTTCTCTGAACACAATTCCAAGGCAAGTTTCCCCAGAAGCTGCCTGTAAGAACTCAATAAGAATACTGTATAACTTTATGTGCAATCTGCACACAGACTATCTGAAATTATGCTGCTATGAATCTTTTCATCATCTCCAAAAGAAATTGTATTACTATTCCCTCACCCAAGATGCATACTAGGTAGAAGTCATAGAGAATACAATTATGTGACTGTCTCACACCTAGAACAATAATGACTTATCCAAAGGAATCTGGGTCTATGTTTTTAGAAGCACATTTACAACATTCCACTTATAATTCCCTGTCCATTACATAAATATAGTAAAAGAATGAAAGCTTCTGGGCAAAAGCATCATCTAGATGTATGAATGCTTACCCCAATTCCCCGCTGTTTAACAGCAAACAGAACATATGATGCTGATCACAGCCTCCATTCAAAATTGCTTCAGTCTGGAATGAACTAAACCTTTCATGATGTTGGACTTTTGTGCAGCACAAAGTGGTCTGAGAAGCATGATGAGCTTTATCCTCTACACTTCATTAGTTGTTTCATTGGTTGTTCTAGGACACATCTGCCATGTGTACCTAATATCCTGCTAGTTATACTGTTGATCTCCGTGCTAACTGAAAACTAGTGTATATTAAAAATAGAGGAAGTCAGTTACAAAAGGTCAGTTTCCCATCGAGATCAGGTGATTCAAACAGTGCTACAGAACTATGTTATCCAAGAGCAAGACAGAGCAGCATCTCCATTCTTCACGATTTCTTAGAGGCCATATCTAGGATCATGAAGTTGTACAGGGGGTGACGTGAAGGACAGCAGAGAGCAAGATTTCCCCCTTTGCCTGAGGGGGAGTTCATTCTTTCTCTCAAACCTCTCCTTGCCATTGGCAGTGTGCTACTAAGGTTGCAGTAACTTCCTTGTGTGGCACCTAGACTTCCTCTTCTGGGGTATCAGTGCTGTCCTAGGATGCTGCCAACCACCAGTCCCAAGTTTTATACTTTCTTCTACCAAATCAGTTATCCGGGAAGAGAGTAAGTACAAAGCACAGCTCCACAGTAAGGGAAGGACTCATCACACATTATCTCTTCCCACAGAATACTCTGTTTATTTAACTAGCTTCTGGAAAGTTTGGTGTTGTCAAGGGTGTAACTGTTTCTACGTGACTTAACAGTTGCTCCTACTTTCCTGACCTTACTGTCTTGTCATACCAGGATATGTTAATCACTGTGTATCTGTTGCCTAGGCTTTGTTTATGGAACAGTACCTGCAACAGTGAGTGCTCCTGTTTCAGACTACAATAGGTACAAGCAGCCACATACGCTACTGACCATGTCTGCCTTCTGGAAACACGTGCTAATAAGAGAACTACACCTCTGTCCGTGCTGCAGCAATTGCTCATTACATCTCAGCTGTCAAACGGCAGTCCCTTTTATCACATGTCATGTGGCTTAGGTACCTTAGATCAACGATGATAAATAATCATTTCTGCCTTTGGAAATTGGATCTCCAGTTTCTCCTTTGCACAGTATAAACTATGGCAACTGTCAGACTTCTTCACAGCTACCCCTTTCTGTGGAGAATATATGTTCAACACACCTGAACAGGGTTGATTTCAAATGTATCTTTCAGTAACAGAATAAACCATGTGTTAATTCTCTCTTTCAAAAATCTCAAGCGTGGAGGTTTCAGCAAGTGCTGTTCCGGAATTATCTGCCAGCCCTTACTCCTTTCACTAGGAAATATAAGCAGCAATATCTTCTTCCATTTTTCTTGTACTAAACGTAGAAATGTTCCATATCAGTATGTACAGTACTGTAACATTGTGGCTTATAAACAACATGCTATGAGATAATGTAAGTAGTTTGATGCTGCTACGACATTTTTCAGACTGGATTCTGATAATCTGTAGTGCACTTAAAAAGGAGGTTTTTGTATTCTTACATAATTGTTTTCAATTACATTTTCAAAATACACTAAAAATATTTTTATAAAGGTATTTTCTGCTTAGGTTAAAGGCTAAACTTCTACTCAATTTTCTGATCCTGAGTTTGCCCCCTTTACTGCTTTATTCTTGCCATGTGAGCTGAAGATTCTGCACATGCTAAGAAAATGCACCCTTCTTTATGTAGCCTGTAGTCCATTCTCTTCACATGTTGCCTGATACCAGAAGTTTGGTGCAAATGAGATGTAAATATCATCTGTAAAAGTACAGGCATTATCATGTTCTTGCATCCAGTGTAACTACCCACAATTCAGATTTGATTAGAGCTGGCAGACCACTTTTTTTAAATGGTAAGAGCTCACTTTCTCACCTGAGAAACTTACAGGTGTTCTGTTAATCAAAACTGAAAAACAAACAACAACAAACAAACCAACATTAACACAAAAGATAACTAAGCAAGGTAGCTCTCACTTTAAATGTCAAGCATCAAACATGAAGTTACATGTAAGCTAAACAGAATACACTCACGAAGCTTCTGAATACATTTGCTGGAAGACAGCAATGCATTCTGAATGGCAGACATTCCACACATCAAAGATAATTAAAATTCATCAACTAATTAATACCTTAAAAATAATAACTGTCCCAGCGCTCACATACCGTATACAAATTTGGGTGTCTCTCCAAAACTGAATCCTTGTATAGCACAACAGCTTTCAAGTGTGGCAAACGATTCCAGATCTGTTAGATTTTTTAAAATAATTATTATAATTTGTTATTCATATCTTGTGCTTTTCCCCACTGAAGTACTGCCAAAACAGTAATTGGGCTGACAGAAGAAACCTCCCACTTCCCTCCTCTGCCAAGTATTTCCCCCTAATTCATAACCATCTCATTTAAAAAAAGATGCTAAGATACACAGTCTGCAGAAAGACTGTTCTCAGCCAGAAGATTTAACTATTAATTACACCAAAATGGCTCTTCAGCATGCTCTCTTGTACATATCAAGGCATGGGCAAGGTCAAGCTGAAAGCTGACCATTGCTGCTGTGGTTACCCATGCCAGATGCCAGACTTCTGAACTTATTCTGCCATGAAAGGTTCCGTGATACAGGTAGCAAATATGGGATTTGGGAACAATACAGCATCAAGAAGGGTGGAAAATACAGTTTATAAGTAACTTCTTTGCCTCCTCATACCTGCATTATCTTGTCCAGTTGTTTCCGATTTTCCACAACCACGATGTTGGTTTTGCTGTCATAAGCAATGTAGTGGCAGGCCTCTGGAGAATTGGTTGTGTATATTCCTGTGACAATTCCTCTGGGTCCAAAATTTGTATATATATATTTATGCATACATTGAAACATTTATATTTATATGCACACACACATAGATGTATATAATATGCAGAAAGCCAATAGTAAGATATCAGATGAAAGCTAAGAGGGGTATAAAGATGTGGAAGTACACATTATCACAGCTATCATGCTTGTTTCAAGTTTTCACATATACATGAACAATATATGCAAAATAAATCCCTGAATTCAATTCAGTAGAAGATGCTGTAGGCTGGGATTCAGTATTTTTGCCTGATTAAGGCTGCAGTGGAGTTAGCTCAGAAAGTGGTTAAAAAACACTTGTCCTCTTTCTGTTCAAGCTGCATGCAATTATCAGTTTGAATTTCACTGTCACAGGAACAAACTGAGAGGTAAATCTAAGTTGTATTAAAATATATCAGGACAGAAGGAATTAGGATAGCGAGTATTTAATCTGTTGCTCTGCTCACTTGAATTTACATTGCAATATTTGCATTGCAGACATCACAAAATGGGGAGTCTTATCTGTTTCCCACATTCTAGTGACAAAAGACTGTGCAGCTGTCACAGGTTTCGTTTATGAGTGTCTAGACTAATCCCAGTAACATTGAGAGCTATGAGACTCCAGCAGGTTGCTGCACACGCTCAGCAGCTGCAGCACAACGTCCAGGATGTGGCACCAAGTGCTAATTTCCCAAATTTCTAACCTAGCAAAACAGAAACCTTGACATTCCTACACAAAAGCAAAGTAAACAACCATACCCAGCAAACACGGCTCCAACAGCTGAGATGAACCACTCTGGAGAATTAAATCCAAGGATTGCTACGCTGTGGAATCTCTCAAGACCAAGCTTAAAGATAATATGCGTAAGGTTATACAACACAGGCATGCTGGAGAGAAATATATAGCACAAAAAATGACAACACATACAAATGATGGAAAGTTGTATTACTCCAGCATTGACAAAGCACGTCCACCCCCAGCTCTATGCCAATATCCATGGCAGAACTGGAAGCTGTGAGTAACAAACATCATCTAAACTTTTCACCATCCCTCCTGCCTGCTCAAGTTCTGCTGCTGAGACAGGCCTGAAAAAACAGACCTTTCCAATGTGGACAGAAGCACCACGAGAGCTAGCCTTAGCCTCTGCTCAGAGTGGTTTTGAATTGTTCTTCATCTTGACAAAGTGTTTTTTTTTTCCACCTATCTTTCTCTTAATCTTAAAGCCCTATGCTGAGCATTGTACCTACACTTGAGTGAAACAGCAGCTTCACACTTGCAATGGCAGCAGTGTTATCATCCTTAGACCAAAACCATTTGTACCTTTATTATTTCAATAAAGAACGTGTCTGCCAATCTTCAGTTAATAGAGGGCAAAAAAGAAAAAAGAAACCTCTGCAATTTGTTTTTTAAGGAGACAAAGAGAAAAGGGAATTGGTTTTGCTCTCTGTACCTACTTTCAAGAAGCTCTTGGCTGCTTTCCTCGAAAAGCAATAGTACTCTGAAAAAGTTATCTTCTCCCACTTTCCATTCTTTCTGCTGGCCAAAGCATTAAGAGATCCATATTTTTCGAGGCTCTCCTTGAACATCTGATGAACTGTTATGGGAGTCTGCGGACATGAGTTATCTATCCTCAGTCTGACTCTGCCATCAGCAAAGGAAGTCCACAAAGACTCTGGAAAGGAAAGCATTGTGAGGGTATATTACTGAAAAGTACTGCAGGCTCTTGTTCATCACTGGTGAAAATGCACAGCTAATGGAAGTGACTGTGCTGAAAAGGAGTGCTTTGTAGCTGAGAATTTGCTCCCACAAAGTGTTATTGTGCTCTTTGTTTCTGTTGTAACTTCCTATTTATTTCCATGGGAATGTTACTTTTGGAGCAACTCACACATAGATCTTCACCTCCACTTACCACCATCTTGCCCTATTTCATATTTTGCCTCCTTGTCTTGTCTCCCTTATTCTAATTATCTTTCCAGTCATTCGCTCTTTTTTAATCCTTCTCCTGCTTCCTTGGCAGGACAGGACTCAAGCAGGGAGTCACCTCATGTCACTTGGCTTTCATGGATGCTCCAAGGACTGTAGCAGTATCTGGCATTCACAGCTAATGACTGCCTCAAAGATTTTGGCTTGCATCTTTGCTGCTGCAAACCCAGCAGGAAGCAGACTTAATACAAAGACAATTCTAAGAGAATTTAGGAGCTAGTTAATTGCCGAAATTCAGGTAAGTTCTTAAAAAGAAAACCAAACAAACCAAACAAAAAGCCCACAAAACCCACACAATTCCTCTGAAAAATAGCTGCTAGTTCTCATTCTTCAGAAAGAAACAGTACAAGAACATTCTTCCCCTTAGATTCACTTTCCAAATAAGAAATATTTTTCAACATGAACATTAAAAACATTCTACAAAGAAGTGGAATAAAAAAGAAAATCAGACAAAATAGCTCAGCTTTGTAAGAAATATAACAAAATACGACTGCTTCAAATTTCTGATTGTCTTAGCTTCAGTTGACACAGAATTGTTTTCCCCAGAGTCTGATATGATGCTATGTTTTGGTTCTAGGAGAAAAACAATTCTGATAACACCGCGGTGTTGATAGCTGCTGCTCAGTGGTGCTGCACAGAGCCATGCCTATCCACAGCTAAGGGCCCAAGGAGCTGGGAGGGAACAGAATTAGGACAGCTGACTCAAACTGGCCACAGGGATGTTCTGTGCCATGTCACATCATGAGGAATGTGTTTTGGAGGGGGTGGGAGTTTATCTCACTTTCTTCCACTGCTTGGGGGCCAGCTGGGCATCGGTCAGGGGGTGGTGAGCAAATGCCTGTGCATCACTTGTTATACACATTATATATATGTAAAATATATATTATATATAAAATATATATCGTATATACATTATATATGTCCATCATATCTGGATCTGCTTAGGACACAGCTGCAGCCTCCCTCAAGTTAAGCCTACCTGCACAGATAATCAGAGGCATATGAAGCTACTGTAAGCTCATAAATATTCACTTAGAAAACTTCTTCGCAGCAAAAAATCTTGTAACTTGACTATAGAAAATCAGATTCTCAATCAACTGAACAAGGTTCAGTTCATAGAATCACGGAATCACAGAGCTGTAGGGGTTGGAAGGGACCTCCAGAGATCGAGACCAACCCCCCTGCCAAAGCAGTTCCCTACAGCAGGTCGCACAGGTAGGTGTCCAGGCAAGACTTGAACATCTCCAGAGAAGGGGACTCCACAACACCCTGGCAGCCTGTTCCAGTGCTCCAAACAGTGTTTCTGATCACGGTTCCTACTAAGGAGGCAAATAGCACAGCCAGCCTACCTTGCTGTCACAATTCTGTGAAACTACTCAAAAAATGTCACTGCCCTCATGCTATATCCCAGTATGTGGACATCATTTTGAAAAAAAACCAGTTGATTTACTTTTCTAATCCCTTCCCAGACAAGAGGATACAAGCTCTGATGCAGAAAGTGAAAGCAGTTATCAAAGCTGTGGTTGTATCAATCCGAGATTACTGTTCCTCATTCATATTATGTTGCATTCAGATCCTGACACACAGCCTTGTGTTTGTTCTGTTTGTCAGTAAATGAATAGTGACAGCAATAAACACAAATCTTAAGGCTTAATCTCAATTTGCCTTCATTTTCTCATGTCTGAATTGCATATAACAATTTTAAAAGAGAGGTGTGGAGCTTTACCCAATAATGTCATGTGTATTAAGGTCAGTGGATAAAAGGCTCCATAAATCCAGGTATTTCAGAAAACAAACAGTAATGGAAGATGCTAAGTAATGGACAGAGAGACTTCCACAGTGTAAACAGTGGCACCCACTGAGCATTTTATAAGTGGAGAGGGAAAACAGGTATTTCTGCACTTAACCCCAGTCCTGGCGTGAAGAAGATGACACAAATCTGTCAGGGAGGGAAGCTACTGCTAATATAAATGCTTATTTTCCCACACTGTCACAAAGTCTGGATGAAAAACTCTGATGTTCTTTCTGGCTTCTAAATCAACTAAGATGGGAGGGATCACAGGTGTGGGTATGCAACGTGGGCGAGTGCTCTGTTGAAAACAAAAATCACACCACAAAGAGTTAAATTACAACATTCTAGTCTGCATATTATTTAAATAAAATTATAAAAAACCACTTTTCAGTGTCTCTCCAAGTGAACGGAAAACATCAGTATTGTTCCTCAAATAACATTACAGAAGTTGTATAACGACAGTGTTTTCACTGCAGGCATTTGGTAGGCAATGTATTCATATCCAGACTAAAAACAGAATTAGTGTCACAGACTCAGCAAGTCACCTTAATAACAGACTATATACTGCTATGGAAAATCCATTTTTACATTCATTCAGTATATGTACTCACATGAATTCATGAGTAAAACTTTAATCTAAAGATAGTTGTTAAGTCTCAATAAAAAGAAAAAAAAAAGTCTTAAGAATTCTCTCCCACAGACTTTGTAAAAACAGCAGAAAATGAACAACATGCTCTGTTGTCAGTATGCAAAGGGACATTAAGTGAAGGGCTCAGCCTTTTCAGAAAGAGCCTGGGAAGGAATGCCTGGCTAAACACTGAATGAACTGATTATATACTTTGGGAAAAGCAAAATAGGTGTCCTGCCACACTAGCAGCTGAAAGCTAAACCGCAGTGTCCAAGATGGAAATGAACTCACCATCTGAAACATAAGAGGAGATCAGAATAAGGATCTTTTAAATAAACTATGAGCACTGATACATGATACACCTGTAGATTTAGAGAGCATAATGAAAAAAAAGCACAACAGAAGCAAGCAATCAGAGCAGACTATTTATTCCTGTCCTATTCCTTCCAGTAACTCCTTCTACCTGCACTACACTTTGTACCCTCAAATCATTCTTTGTTCACTAATATTCAACCTTGGTTTATTTCCTCAGCAACACACTTTGAGATGGTAAGAAAGTATTTGCTTTTTAAAAAAAAAACCAACACGTTTTATTAGATAAAATAAAATTAAAAAGCAACACAGATTTTAATCAGGTACTCAATCTTGAATCCCTGAGCCCCTTCTCAGAAATACGGTCTGACTTTTGAGTGGTGCTGCACAGAGCCAGGATCAATGATCCTTACAGTCCCTTCCAATTTGAGATATTCCATACTTCTAAGTTCCATCCTCTCTGGTCCCTGCAGCACAGAATCATGGAATCATAGAACTACTCGGTTGGAAAAGACCTTAAAGATCAAGTCCAACCACAACCTAACCTACCACCCTTAGTAATCTGACCTCAGCTCAAATTGATAGGCCATAAACATGCCCTGAAAAGTAGAAACTATGATTTAATTTCTGCTTGAAACTCATTCCGTTTTTAACTCACACAACATTGTTTTGATTACACGCCACTTCCTGCAAAATATCACTCTGCTCTAATGACTGGTGTAGGCATTCAGCTCTCTGCTGGAGGCATTTTTTTAATAGACAGTCATCATCCCAGATTCCACAGCTGTGATGCCATTACATTCTGCTGACAATACAAACACGTCATCCATTCCTCCTCTTACCTTTCTTGTTTTTTATGTTTTTTTTTTCCTTCAGCATGTTTTCAGCCCTGAAAGCTAAACTTCTCAGTGAAAACTGGAGATGAGTGTTTACAAACAGCTTGGAGTCAGAAAACTTGGCATCTGCACCAAACTTTTCTAATGTCAACGAACAGATTGAACTAAGAGGTACAGAGCTTCCTATGAGGCATTATACATACAGAGTGACTTTTTTTCCAAAAGCAAACCAACATCTTTTCCTGCTGCTTGCCTAACCCACAGTTAGGGTAGGAAGATGGGATTCTGCTATATTATCAATTTTTCATGATAAACTTGTAGCTTTAAACTCTCTAAATAATTATTATTATTTACATTGAATAAAATAGCTAGACTATTTTCAACTTAGAAAAACCAACAAGCCATATTAATGTTCTGATTCACAGATGCTTTCACTTTTTCCACTGGATGAAAAGGGAATATTTTTCAGTCACAAGAAAACGTATTGCACTGCAGATGCTACCACAGTGGATCCGAGATATAAAATACCCTTCAAAAAATGCTTCTGCAAACTGACATGGAGGAGTGGTGCAGCAGAAAAAACAGCTGGTTATAAAATAAGCTTCATAAACTGTGTACAAAATAAGCTTCATAACAACAATAATGCTCTTAAAACTGATTACAAAGCACCAAAACGGAGCTGTGTGGAGGGTGTAATCAGGAGAAGTATCACTACTGAGGCACTGCCCAGGCACAGAGAGATAGAAAGTTCAAAATCAGTTAAGTGAGGGACGAGAAAAGGGCTTCAAAGTGCACATCAGAAAACAAAGGAAGACCCAAGGATATAATGAGCAGCTTACTGACACAGGTCTCGGAAAGGGATGATGTATTCAGTACCTTCTTTGCCTTTGTCTTTACTGAAAGGCTTCCTAAGTCTCTGTGCCTAGTGGCAGGTGAAAAGTTCTACCTACAGTAGCAGAGAAAGATCAAAGTAGGAACCTCATATGCAAACTGGACATATACAAAAATGTCTGTGGCCCCAGATGCATTTCTTCACAATCAGAGATCAGGTCCCACGTCATCCCAAGCCTATTCTCCATCACCTTTGAAAAAATGTAGCAATCTGATTGAGATTCCTAGTGACAGAAAAAAGGCAAATGTCACAATCATCTGCAAAACCAGAGAGAAAGAGCATTCAAGTAAATACAGGGCAATCTGGCTCGCCTCAGGGAAAACTGTAGAACAAACCCTCCTAGAAATCATTGTTGGGCATAAAATGGTGACTGAGACCAGCCAGAATGGATATGCCAAAGCCAACTTGAGTCTGTCCAACCTAACTGACTTTTCACAATGGCTGTGTAGATGGGAGGAAGAGAGAAGTGGCATGTCATTTGCTTTAACAAGGTCTTTAACCAGGCCTCCCATAGCAGTCAGACTTGGAGGGCTTGGACCCTCCAAACCCCGTTTCAGTTGGAGTATCAGGTGAATGAAAAACTGGCAAGATGATTACTCTCAGAGAACAGTGGTCAGCATTTCCAAGTCTAGCCAGCAGTCAATTAGAAGCGACATTCTTCAGGAGTTAGTCCTGGAAAAAATACTGTTTTAATGACTGCATTGCTGTCTTGGACAATGGAATGCACCCTCACCAGCTTCAAAAATGACACCAAATATGGGGAATTGGTCAACATGCCAAAGGGTGAGGCTGCCTTTCTGATGGACTCAAGCAAACTGGAGCAATGGGCTGATGCAAGCCTCAAAGCTCAACAGTGATAAATGGCAAGTCAGCACACAGAATAAACACTATCTGGCTCAGCAGAAAAATCCCTGTGGTTCCTGGTGGCAATCAAGCTGTATGAGAGTCAGTACTACACTCTTGAAAGGCTAATTTCTGACTGCATTAGCAAGATCACAGCCAGCAGATCTCAGAAAGCGATTATGTCCCCCTACTCAGTACTCGTAAGCTAACTGGAGCAGCATATAGCTTTGGAAGTCCTAGAGCAAGAGATTGTAACAAACTGACAGAAGCCCAGTGGAAGGACTCAGGTACTCAGAGTGCTTGAGCACAATCCATAAGAGAAGCCTCTGAAGGAGTTGGGTGAATCTAACACAGATGGCAGGGGGTTATAGAAAAGATACCCTTCTCAGAGGCACACGGCAGAAGGCCAAGAGACAACAGACACGAGATGGAACAAGGAAAAGTCTTACTAGAGGAAGAAAATTAATTTCACAACAGAGGTGGCTAAGATCAAGATCAGGAAGTGAGAGGATGCAGAATCTCCATCTTTAGACATTTTCAAAACTCAGCTGAACAAGGCAAGGAGCCTACCTTCGAGTAAAAAAGCTAGACTAGCTTCTCTCAGATGATACTGGTGGCAGTAACCATCGTCCCAGAAAATGCTATTAGAAAAATAGGTCAGAATATTCACGAGCATGCAAATAAGTACTCTGTAGAATTACAGCCTCAGTAATAATCTACACATCCAATATGTGTCAAATAACTCAATAAAACACCCTGAAACATCTGAAAATAAAAGGTAGTTGCTACCTTTACCTATAAAAATTTCAAAGTGCAGATGCCTACTAGTTCAATTGTTAAAAAAGAGAACAATAAAAAAACCCAAACACTGCAACTACAATAAAATTTAAAAAAAATCCAACAAAAGAAAACAATCATGAATCAAAGAATTTATTTTTCAAAGACTATTCACACATATGAACACAAGTGTGTATGAATACACATGTAGATCTGCATGACCTGCCACATAAATATCATTTCTTCAGGATCCAGTTGCAGCTGCTACTCCACTTGTCTCATAGCACAAATACAGTTTGTTTGAAGCAAATGCAGATAGCAGTAGCTGTCTCACCAAGGCAACAGCAGCTCCTTCAGGGCTGCAAACTTTCCAAAGAAGCTGGCTATGTCCCTTAGGCCACATAGAAACAGAACTCTTTTTACTTAATACTGCACCTGGCTTAAAGTTAAAGGAGGATGTATATGCTACAGCACAGCACTGATCAGAGGATAGATATTCCTCTGCAGCCTCCAGTAATTACACTCTATGCCAAATCCTTCATAGCTAAGAGTTGGTAAGCAGGCTGTCATACCAAAGCTAAGACCATAATGAGTGCAAATTTGATGAAGATCAAGCTTTCAACTGTTGTCTGATAACTGTCACAAATACAGACAAAAACTGTGAGAAGCTAACTGAGTTCATGCAAGCTTACAGAAAGCTCCCTGTCACTGACCCTGGAGGTGTTCAAAGGAACGTTTGGATTTTGTGTTGAGGAACATGGTTTAGTGAGCACTATTGGTGACAGGTGGATGGTTGGACTGAATGATCTTGTAGGTCTTTTCCAACCTTGGTAATTCTGTGACACTTTTTCCACTAGCCCTGATTCACCTGAGTTTATTCTCTGGCTGTATCCTCTTATCCCAGCCCTGAAAAACTGTCAGACTGTTCACTAGCATAGATTCCAACTAAACATTTTACAAAAGAATTCAGTTTCCAAAGATCCCCTTTCATATCTTACCTGTTTGTTCCTGGTCTTCAAAATCAGCCAGCAAATCTCTGCAGACAGGCTGTCCATCAGCCGTTCTTCTAAAAGAAGAGAGAACTGTTAAAAATGTAGCTCCAGGAGTACTAATAGGATCCACTGCAATCCACATACAGTATAGCCAAGGGGGGAAAAAAAACATCAGGAAAATAGTAAGAAATACAAACAGGAAAATCAATATACAGCTCAGATGAACAAAGAACATTTACATTTTGTTTCTCTTTCACATGCTCTACAATCATGTTAAACAGGGAAAAGCCTTCAGTCAGTAAGGATGACATTTGTATTTTACTGAGAGGATGATAGATTCCACATCATGGAACACACAAGATGGAGACAATAAGTGTGACTCTCAGAAGCCATCAGCTGTGTGAGTACGAAGAATGGATGATCAATCCTAACCTTGACCACCCTACCAGCATATTTATATCACATTTCTTATCAGTTACCACTGTTGATATCTGTGAAGGCATAAGATTAGGGTTTGGTGGTCTTTTCTTGTTTTCTTTTTAAAACTTGGAAAAGAATCAGATTTAGTTCATAATAACAATAACATATTTCTCAAAAAATGCAAAGCAACTGATTATTGCATGGATTAAACTAACATTACTTGGTTTAAATTTAAATACAATTTTAAACAGATAATATCAACTCAAAGTTTGTAAAGTAACATACTGCAAAGTACAGAAGCAAAAAATGTAAATAACAAAGGAATGTGTAAAAGTGAATAAGTGCATAAAGTAATGAACTACAGAATATTAAAAAACCATACTGTTATTGATGAATAATCTAATGCATTAAAATAATATGACCCAGTGAAATGTACATGTTCTCAACATCTATATTTAATAGTTAATAGCCATAGCTGATAATGAATATAAGCAGTCTGAATATATGGAAAGAACTTGTCCTTCAGTGAAGGCTTCAGCTTGCAGACTTTGATTTGACTTCATTTAATAGAACAATGAGTGGAAATCAGCAGCCTTCAGAGGCTGAGAACAACTCTGGATCATCAATTGCTCTCTCAGAATAATGGAAGAATCCTTAGTGAAGCTCAAGTTCTTCTCCTCTGTAACAAGGTAAGTTCATGCAGGAAAAGAAAATCCAAACAATGCCTTTCCCAGCTGTCAAAAAGTAACAAGCAACTTCCAAAGTAGTTTTTAAACACAGCAGTCAAATAGCAAGCAGTGGGACCAAGCACTGTCACACATTATGTTGTATCTTGCATTAACAACTCCATTTTATAGAATATGGATACGTGGCACAATCCCAGAATTTATTACTAGTTGTTATGCACAACGAAATCACACTCTAAGAAAGTGTATATCATCCAAGCCAGGCCCCTACAGAAGAACACAGCTGTTTTTGCAGTTCTTCAGTCATCAGAAGTGGCAGCCCCTGCTCAGCTCTTCCCCGCTGCAGATTGCTGTCTCAGAGCAGAGGCACAGGTTGCAAAAACAGCTGATGGAAAATAAGGCATCATCACTAGCCTGCCTGTGAGGATGCTTCTCCTCTTGTTAATGGCATAATGGGGCAAAACATGAAAGAGCTTGTTCAATAAACAGAGACTTAGGCTCTGGAAATAGTCACTGGCTGGGTGGAGGCAGATGTTGATGAAAAACAGAGTAATTTAAATACAGAGGGGGATTAGACTGTGTTTGAAAAGGTAAATGTTTGCTGTGTGGGAGAATGGTAGCTTAAAGAAATGTCAAGAGCAACAGTCCTGGAAGGTATATTTGATGATAAAAATAAATAAAAGCATCTAAAACCACTTAAAAGTATGTCTGTCAACTTGAAGCATTCAACCCTCAAAAATGTTCCCATTTGAAAGAAAAATGGCATTTTGCAAGCAGAAACCTAGTGCAAATTTAACTATTTTTTGAATACTAAGGCTTTTCAATCCTTACTTTTTTAGTAAAGTAACACAAATGAAGCCTTAGTTAAAAGACAACTGAATGTTACTTTTGCCTATAATGGCAAAAAAGCCCTCAGAAGAAAATGGATATGATTGATAGTTTAACAGAATAACCTCCTGTGAGACTACTCAGAACTTGAAATAATCATAAGTAACCAATTCTCCCAAAGGAAAATCCCTTATAGTTTTATTCCCACCCAGATAAGGTCTAAGATACTGGTTTGGTTTATAATTTGCTCCCTAAACATTAGCAGTGTAATGTGAAAAAATCAACCAGCGAGTTTGAACTTCTAGACTCACCCTGGCAGCATTTTAACATGCAAATGTCATCTGAAGAGCTCTACGCATCAGACATCTTCAGAAGCACCCAAGTTTGTAACACTGTGTGCAAAGCAGTTGTCACCTGCCTCAGCCAACTAAGCAGTTGGAGAGACTTTTTGCTCTCAGAGTGCAAAATTCTCTTTTATCAACAGTTTATTGCTCAGAACATTATACAGAACCATCACTCCAGAGTGAAAGAACACAGTTTTTAATATAATTTAATACTTCAGCTCTTCTACGGTGCTAACCTTTTAAAAAAATTAATTAGAGACTCTATAAAGATTGTTACATGGCATTCTTGGAGTAAAACTGAAACAACACTGGGGACTACTTGAATCACAAGCTTGTTAAGTATACTGCTGCAAGGAGAAAACGTGCTGCAGAACTGTGTTTGGTGCTGTAACAATTGGACAGATCAATATGATGGGAAAAGCTGGTTTATCAGTGTCACGGAGTTGACCAGAGCAATCTATGTCCGTGACAGGGGCGACAGGCCTCTGCCCTCCCCCCCCACCCCTGTCCCACAAAAATGGGAAGGAAGGGAGGAAAAGAGCAGCGGCAACAATCTATGGAGGAAAACTTATTTTACTATAATATCGGAATACAAGATAACACAATATATACAATTTAATTGAAATTGAGATGAATAAATCAGACAAGATGAGAGAGAGAGTTCCCGGGACCGAGTCAAACCTGAAAAGCTTGGAACGGCTAGGAAAGCACCTTCAGCACCCACTGCAAGGCAGCAAGAGAGCACCCCCCCCACCCGGAAGGGCCAGATCCCGTGACTGCTGTAATGTACAGGGATAGGTACTTGGAATTGGGGCAGTGACACTTTAATGCCCCGTACACTACATGATGTTTTGATGTGGAATTCTGAAACCCAGAAACAAAAAAAAAACAAAAACATAGAACCATGACAACCAGAGGGGTAATGACAAAAGGATTGGCACAATAAAAAGGTGCTATAAAGGAAGGGAAGATTGCTCACTTGTATCAGAAGACTCCAGGTTCACAGGGAAAAGCTCCACCAAGGAGGATCTCCAGGAAGAGATCCTTCCCCAGTGGCAGTCAGCCCTTCCATGGGGTCTAAGAGAGGGGCAGCCAGGCTCCACTCCTGCTCACACAGCTGCATTGCCTTCACCTGTGCTCCCAGGGCTGACCGGGTCCTTCCCACAGGTCTCCATCAGTGGGGCAGGCTGGGACTCAGCAGTTCCCATACAGGTGCTAAGATGCCCTATCACAACCAAGGTGCTTTTGAAATCTGGACTTTGTTAAGGCTGGCACCCTACATACATCGTGCAAGGTTATTAGTGTAGGCATAGCACATTCCCAAATTCTATCTAAAAGATTATTTTCTCTTTTGTTTGCTTAGGCAAACAAACAGAAGCATGATCCCAAAACTAATACACAAAAACCTCTGCAGGGCACACACAGGAGCTGATAGGTCACTTTGGCATGCCAGTTAGATCAAAATGAGTTCATGTTACACAGTGTTGACCATTTAGAATGGATCAAAACATACTTTTGCACAAGTCCATTAGCAAGAATGTTTTCTGAACAGTATTTCCTGACATAATATGGGACTTAATTTGGAGGAACCATTCTATAAAAGAAGATGCCATCTATGGCCTCAATCACTACTTTTGTTGCCTTAGTCTTTCCCAATTAAAAATAAACCTTAGTTGAAATACACAGTGAGGCTGAATTGGAAAACATGCACTTTTTGCCATGGCAGAACCTTTCTGCCTTTCCAAGTCAGTGAGAATTTATTCTCCCCCAGCTTTTGTTACCCGATTTCCAGGACAACCTATCCGTATGCAATCCACCAGCTTTAGCCTATGCCAGGGCTGCTTCTGGCAGTGTGTTTGGGTCTGCAGTTGCTTATTCCAAAGCACTTTCTACTGGGAGTCAGGCATTACTGGGCCATTTTAATTCAAGATGAAATCATTAAGTAATCACCTGACAATTCTTTACTCAGCAAAAAAGCAGGCAGTCACATTACCTACAGGTACTTCTGAAAACCTGAATGATCCTGGCACTTTGCTCAGAATCTTCAGCCACTAAACATCACCCAGATCCAGTTTTATGAGTAATCCTTTCCCAGTTTCCCTCGTGTCTTGCAAGTGCTGAGTCCAACATTTTAAATCAGAACTCTGGGGAGAGGAGGTAGGAGGGAGTGCAAGAAAATAAATTAAGACTCACACATCTGTCAGAGATTGAGACAAAGATGTTGAAATCACTCTAATTTAAATCAACATTACACAGTGCCAAAGCTTTGATAGCTCATCAGATAAATAGAAACCTGTAAGCAACATAAATAAGTAGGAAATTCTGTATCTCCTGACTGAGATGCTATTAATTATTACCCCAGACATTTAAGAAATATTTCTTTGTGTTCTGCTGCATAAGGAAAAGAAGGAGAGTAGCAGCACATAACATTATAGTTCCTTAAATCCTAATTTGTACTACATGTAAAATTTTTCCTACCTTAAGTAGCTACGAGGCCCTTGTGGTCCTTTACAGGGGCATCACTGTCTATTATAACTGGTTTTATTTACCAATTAATCCTCTTTTTTAATTGGGGCAATATTGTAATACTTTCCCTATTGTTCTATTTAAAATTTCCCTTTGTCCTTAAAGAACTGGTTAGATTTGGGTTCCAATTAGTTTCAGTGTCCTTATGAGACTTAAGAAGGGGGCCACAAATGAGTGCAAACATGCGCCTACTCTTGCAAAAACATTCAGCTGATTTGACAATCAGTCTTCTCAGATTGCACCAGATAACTGTCTCTTAACTTATTAATACAGCTTCTTTTCACACAGAGATATTTAAAAGCAACACAAAAGTTTAATGAAGAACAAAGCACTAAAGAGAAAGATAACAGCAGAAAGGCCTTTTGCCGTAAGCCACAGCTGGCACACACCTTAAGCAGATTTGTATTTGCAAAAAAGCCCAAACCAAACAAAACCCAACAACCTGTATATTTTGATCTTTTGTTTTACAGACAGCTGAGAAGTATGTGGGTGAAAGGGATTCCAGCAGTTAGGTCATGCTGAACTCATTATCTCCTCTCTCACTCCTTTTTGAGGTCGCACTGAATTTCAGCCTTACAAAAGCTCTTTCTAGCTCTGCCGGTCTCGCTAGAATAGATATTGTTTGTCTGGTTCTCCTCACCTGAAATCCTGCTTCCAGCACCAAGAAAGAAACTTCACCCAACTTCAAACCACACCAGGTGGACAACGCTACTTAGAAAACAGTAACTATGCACTGACTTCTTCAAGAAACAATGTATTTAAGGCAGGGAATTTGAATGGATGGAAAGCAGTCAGAGCACTAGCCTCTGATCTTCTCTCCTTAGAATTTCAGGAACAAACCACACACCAAGCACATTTTTTATCAAATTTAAAGAATATTCAAGAAACTTCAACTTCCTGTTTTGTAAACCTCTGTATGTTTTAACATTCTTTCTGTATTTTTTTGTTTGTTTTAACAATGCAAAGCCAGGACACCATCTTTGCAGTAAGCACCTCACAGGTAGGACCACGCATGGACCAGAACAGAGGCATTACCACTGATTTACTGACAATTCTAACTTTCACACATCAGTGTGTACATTCACCTGTACTGATCACAAAGCAAACTGTCTTACAAGTTTGAGGTGCATTAAAAATTGTCAACTTTAGCATTAAATACTTCAGCACTTCCAGAAGCAAGAAATCCAATTACATCAAGCAAATCTTCCAAGTGATGTAACGTGCAAGCTCTTATCTGAATCAAAGTGAAGTTAGATTTAACAACCAAATGTGTGCCTGATATGTTTGTAGGAACCAATAATTACTACTCAGCAATACTGACAAAATAAGCAGAAGTTAAAACATTTCCTGTATCATTCATTCTTCTATAATTAAAATAAGTATTTTCAAAAACTCTGCTGCCATGGACAAAAAGAAAAGAGCAGCTGAGATGGTTTGTTTCATGTAAGAAAGTATTATCAACTGCGAAATAAACTCTTCTAAAACTAAGTTCCCCACTTCCTGATCTAAGAGATGGGTTTTCTGTTTAAGTTCTGTTGCCACTGATGGGAAGATCAATAACAAAGGCAAATTATCACCTAAAGTTTATCCCTTCCATTTCTGCAGGGAAGACTTACAGTCATAGCTGCAACAAGGATGTTTTTTCAGTCAATTCAGAGCACACAAAATGAATGGTAGCATGTCCAGAGCAGACAGTTCTGAACTTGCAGTTTTCAATACTGCTCTATCCTTTGGAGACCCGTGAGGGAATGGCTCAGCAGCACGACTGTTCTTTTCTTGACTTCCAGAACTTTGCTATCTTCTGTTACTTGAGAAGGCCTGCAATCTCACATTAATAATTTAATTTGCTGGAGCACAGTACTCTAGTAGCTGGCCAGTATTTTTAACTAGTATTCCACACTTTTGTTGAGCTCCGAGTAGCAGAGCCACAGGAATTAAATACACTTTTTGTAAGAATTGCTATGCACAAACTTCTGCTGAGCCTAATTCTGGGGCTAAGAGCCTCTGTGCTAGAAAATGAACACCATACAATTTAATATATGCAGGTAGGATATAAGCAACACAGTTCATACTGAATTAGGACTAATGCTAAACTAGGAGTCAGCATAGAATAAAACCATTTAGAATTTTCATTACCATTTCATCTCATTCAAGGATAATTCTAATTTTACATTAGACTGAGCCCTTGTGAGGCATGCAAGGCCCTCATGGATCCACTGGGTAATAGAAGAGAAAGTGAGGTTCCAAAATATCCAAAAATCAGTTTGTTAACATAAATAATTGAGCTACTTTACCCATTTTCATCTTGTAGATTTTTCTTAAGAGTCTCCCCAGTGTTAGGCATGTTGACACACCCTCTGAGGCTGGTCACAAATATGCTGAAGAACTGTGCGGGTCGGGCATAAATAAGCAACATGGACAATAGAAGAAACTGATGGTAACTGGTTATTTGTTGGAAAAAACAACACGTAATGCAAGAGGAGGAGACTACAGCCACAAAAGCTGTTTCTTTCTGATTTTAACATGCTTGAAATGTCGCAGTGCTGTGAGCCGCTTACTGTTAAACTTTCCTTTTAATCCAGTTCTCTTTAATTATCCATGAGAAGAATTTTAATGAGTCTACAATGCTTTAAAATGCAAATCTTCTCTTTTGACACGACTTCTAACAAATTAGTTTACACAAGTTGAAGCAATTCTTATTTTTATTACCATGATTTCCAGAAAAGAGCACTCAACAAAATCGTTTTTTTGAGGAAAACATGGATTAATTACATTAGGTAATTCCCTGAAGTCAGTTATACCTATGAAACCCAGCACAGCAACAGCCAAGCACCTCCTCCAGCATTACAACTACTAGCACTTCATTGCCTACACCAACGCAGACCTGTTGAATACTGTAGGCGTTTCTACACAGCTCCAGTTTCTTCCCAGGATGCAGTAAGCCCAGTTTGGCTACTTTGGCTACTTCTCTGCCAGTAAATAAATAAGACCCAGGGAACAGTTCAACCCTCCCACCAGGAGCAGCTTTCCTGCGATGGCTTCAGGTTGAGCCCACTGGTACTTCCCTACTCTACACCCACAGATACAACTTCAGCCAGGGGCTGCTCCTGGAAGGCTGTGTTAATGATTACACTTCTGAAAGGAGGAGAGAGGGATGCGAGCTGTGCCATGCCACTTGCTCTCAGAGCCACAAAACACACTCTAGAATGTTGCTTAGTGGTACAAAGCCACATTGATTAGGAAAATGTAAGACCAGCAAACTTTGTAGAAGCTTTATAGAAAGAATAGTATTTTATTCCAAAGTATCTTGCATCATGCACAAATGCTTAATTGTGCACAACACGATTTGATATTAATGTGTGTTACACACTGTTTAACAGAAAGCTCTCATGACTGTGTCAAACTAAGTTTCCTGCAATTGTCAGCTACAAACAATCCTGTCATTTTAACTACAAAACCATGAATGCTGTGCTGCAAGAGAAAGTTCTACAGTTAAGTTGTCTTTGCAGTCCTGGTACATTTCTAAGTACTCTTCAAGCTTCAAATTGTAAATCCTAGTAAACGATGCTAACTTGTAAGAGTTCAGTAAGGAACGACCTCACCTTCCAATGATTTTTACATGCTGCAATTTATATGATGCTGTTAGCACAGTCACCTTTTTCTTTACTGCTGGCTTGCAACTTGCACAAGACTGCATCACATTCACAGCCTGAACTGCTGCAGTGGAACAGGCCTCTTTTTCCAGGCTATAGGTGAGCTTTCTGAACGCAAGCAGGCTTGCAAAGCTTTGAAGGAAATTAAGAGGCGAATAAGGCTCACCTACTGTTTATGTCCTTTACTCTACAATCATGGCTGGAATCTGCCAGGAATTAGGGACTGATATATGCACTGTCACTGCAACCCTACACTGTCACAAGATGCCAAACAGAAATACTGCAGACGCCAGAACAAAGCAGTGTTGTTACTACAGCCAGTAACTCAGCCACAGTGCAGAGATCAGCCTCAGAGCGGGTGCAGGGCATGGCACCCCATTCATGTCTGGAACAGGACATTTCAGGGTTAATTCACAGTGCTGCTACGGCAACATGAACCTGTCCAGAGCTGTGCACTCTCATTTTTCTCCCTTCAAGGCAAGAGTGCTTGTCTCACCACAAACTTAAGATGAATGGAGGAGTACACTAATTCGGATGTTCTTTGCTGATGGCTGATAACTGCATTTACTGTCATTAGACACTACCTTTACAGAAAATATTTTCATATTAAAAATAAATAAACACACATATGTATATCATAAAATTTAAAAAGGCCTCAAAATTTTTAGCTAAAACACTTTAATCAGCTCAGCAATTACCTTTAAATGCTAGCAGGTCTCAGAATTCTAAACCCAAACATCTTTCTAAACATGACTTTTCCTATTCTTCCACTGAGTCTTAAATTGAGCCCCAAAACATACCGAAGATATGTACAAATTGTAACTAGTCATAAATGTAACTAGCTGTCATGTATTCATATTTAAATAACTAAACTTTCCAATAGCCATACCTGTAAAAATATTTTCTCTAATTGGCCACGCCACAGCAACAAGAATTGCATTTTGCTTTTCTGAACAACACGCTCTGCATTCTAAGGAATTGTTCCACAGTTAGAAAAAAGAAACAGATCAATTTGTGCAAAGCCTCTAGAGTCACAGCATCTATAACAGATCTGAGATTTGTTTTCAACTACAGCTTGTAGTGATTAAGGAAGATAATTGTGAGAGGAAAAAAAAAGTAGGCATCAATACACACAAAGAAGAGAGAGCTGATTCTGAGCACCTGGAGAGAGCATTCTGTAAGGTCAAAACAAGTTTTGGTCTGAGGACAAGCATATCTAGAAACAATTATATTGCTTCCTTCTGAGGAGAAGTGCAGATTGGACCACAGGTCACCTGCCATCTGATATTTCCTTAGAGGTGTTCACTCGTGCAGTTGTATCTGAGTCACATTTCCTATAGGCATAAACCACCTCAAGATAAGCTGCCTTTAGCCAATCAAAGCAGTACTAAGGTAACAGCCCTTACTCTGTTGTATTACAGTTACATAAAATTAACTTCTGCAGGTTACAGTACACTTAATTAAAACTCAGCTCTGAAAAATCCTCTGAAGATGCTAGTCATTCACTGTAACACCCTAACAACATAAAGCAAGCACCATCATTTCAATCTTTTACCTTTCACCAAGAGGAAAAGCATTTTTCTTCTTTCTGGCTTCTGCACAGAATATCCTTTTCAACAACTATATCTGTGCAAAGAACTCTAGCACCATGTAAGGTCCACTACATTAGATTGTTATTTTTTATATAGTCTTTCTAAAGTATATTTTAACTAAGAATGATTGGTTAGAAGTGTTATTTAAAGGTTATTTCCCTGATACATTTGTAGAAATCCTGATACCTGCTTCACCTGGGAAAAAAAATCCAGCTCAACAGGACACAAAGTTTGTTATGATTCAGATTCCACCTTTGTGAGAGAGTACAGCAGCAAACTTCAGTGCACTTGAAAACAGAAACTCAAGGCCTCAGGCTCCTGAGTTCTTACAGGTCCTTTTGGGAACCTGTTTACAAAAATCAGCAGTGCTCAAAGAAACTGAGTTTCAGTTAACAGACTGTATTCATACCTGTGTCACCAGGAGACAGGACGCTCTTTTCAGTAACAGTTCCACAGCTCAGAAGACACGATTTATGACACACAGCATGGCTAGAAAACAAAGGGATTGTATGAGTATTTAATACAGTAGAGATTGAAAAATAAAATGCATACTTGTTGAGGCCTATAAAGATAATGAACGCTGCAAAGGCCAGATGGGAGGTGTTGTTTTGACTAGTTTTGTGCTAGCAGTGTGAATATCCATTTCAAAAAACAAAGGTAGAGTCCTCTGAGGGTTAAACAAAGCAGGCAGCAGGAGCTGCCATCACATTACCCCTGCTCTTCCCAGCAACCAGTCCTGCCTTTTTGGAAAGAAGGGAGCTTCTGTGCTTTTTTTCATTGCTGTGCACACCTGCATGCAAACTAGTACTTTGTAAGTAAAAACTGACAATGCAGTTGGTAGTATTACATGCAATGGGAAGAAAAGGAAGGGAAAGAGTAAGAGAGATCAGATATTCAACTGAAAAACAGGGAAGCAACTGCTAGTTTGGAGCTACAGATTTGAGGAGACAACTGCACCAGGAGGTACGCACCAGGCTAGCCGAGTAGAGAAAGGAACAGCTGCTCCAATTGCTGAGAAATGTGCCTGCACGCTAAGAAGCTGTACTACTTTTCTTACAGAGTATGGAGATAAGGATTCCCACTCCATTCCATTGCACAGTACTGGAAAAGAGGATGTGTGTACTTTACTTCAGAGGCAGAGCACTGTCCTCAATTAACAAGATAAGCATTCAAGGCCAGGCTGGATGTGGCTCTAGGCAGCCTGCTCTGGTGGTTGGCAACCCTACACATAGCAGGAGATTGAAACTACATGATCATTGTGATCCTTTTCAACCCAGACCATTCTGTGATTCCATGAAAGCAGCACAGGTAACACACTCCGCCTCAAAACACCAACTCTGCTAATTCCCTCAATAAATAACGAGGTTAAAAAAACCAAACGGAAACAGTGAGAAAACAAATATTTGAAAGCAAAGATAAAGGCAGCTCATCCGTGCCACATTTCTGGGACAGCACTCACTAACTACTGCTTTTAGCAACAAACGGGCTGCTCACAGCCCTGCTACATCCACAGCACCCACACCCACCACAGCATCCCCTCACAGAACCGACGCACTCCCCTCATAACAACTTAAATTAATCAGCTTGAGTTTTTCAGCCCCGCCCCCCAAGGTCCCGCCCACACGCAGCTCGGCCCGGCCCGCCCCATGCCACCTTCCCGCCCCATGCCACCTTCCCGCCCCCTGAGGCGCCGCCCGGCGCTCCGCTCCCCGCAGTGACGTCACGCGCACGGGTTCCAGACCGTTCCAGCGCCGTGACGTAGCGCGGCGTCATTCCAGAAGATTCGGCCGGCGCCGCTATAAAAGCCGCGGAAGAGGCGGAGCGCCGGCCATCATTGAGGTCTCTGAGTGCGGTACGGTGTTGAGGTGCGGGTGGCGGTGAGCGGCTGCAGCCTTTAGACGCGCTGTAGGTGTTCCAGGCTTTGTAAGCGTGGCGCGTCCTCGCGGAGCACCATGGTGAAGGAGACGGAGTACTACGACATCCTGCAGGTGAAACCCACCGCCTCGTCCGAGGAGATCAAGCGCGCCTACCGCAAGCTGGCGCTGAAGTACCACCCCGACAAGAACCCCAGCGAGGGCGAGCGGGTAGGCAGCGGGCCGGGCCGCGGGGGGTAGCGGCGGTCCCTATGCTGGCAGGGCGGCCCGCCTGGGCTCCGCGCTCGGCTGGGCGGCTCCCGGGGCGGCCTTTGTTAGAATGCGGCTGTGGCAGTGCTGAGTGCAGGGCTGTGCTGGGAGCCGTCCTGCTGCAGAGGGCGAATCGTTGATCGCGGGTCTTACTCCTCTGCTTGTGCTCGTCGGCCTGAGTCCCGTTCTAGGAGCGATGCTTTAAAGCCGGCAGAGCCAGGAGAGCCCCTGGTGCCCTCGCGGTGCCATGCTGCCGGCAGCTTGCCGTGAGATCAGCACATCCTGGCGGATGGGGTCGCCGTCCTGTGGCTTACACCGCGAGCACCCTCCGGCAGAGCTGCCCCAGGCACTGATAGAGACCCGCTGAACTTAATTTCTTGTATGGGAACGAGCATCGCAGCTGGAAGACTGGAAAGCCAATCAAACTTGGGTGATTGCTTCATCTGTCTGCGAATTGGTTTGATGATCCCTCGCTGCTGGAAAGGAAGCTTCAGTTTCTGTGCATTTAGTACACTAACTCAGAGTACTAAAACTAGTGAAGTAGTAATGTGGGCTCAGCTAACATCTGCTTTTAATTTTGGCCCGCCAGTTGACCTGTCCGTAAGTAAATGATGCTCACTCCGGAGCTTGTCATTTCAGTAATAGCAAATTGTGTTTAAAAGTAGCTAGACTTAATTTGTCTACTATTTTAGTGATAGGAACCTTGGAATTACTCAAAAATAATCCCTTTTTATGAGGATGATGTTTTGATTTTTAAGTCTTCCATGTGTAATGAGTAGAACACCAGTGTCTTGTCAATCAAAGTTAAAAGTACCTGCTTAATTCTAGTTGGCTGTAGGAGTGCAGTGCCTATGAAGGATCTCCATTTAGCTCTAGAATGACTAGCACTGGCCACTGACCATCGGGGAGCCACTCGGGACAGGGATAATGTGGTGCCCCTTTCTTAACAGATGTGTTAGGAGTATGTAATGACGGCAACCAATGATCACCAAAGGGGCAGTTAGCGTATGCTTGTAAGCTGGATGTGACTCTGAATTAAGTTCACTTGTAACGTTTGGTGGGTGGGAGGGAGACAGGAGTTGTTCTTTATAGACTAAAGTGTATTAGTAGGGTCTGTGACTTATTTGTTCAGGGACTTTCCTCTTGGAAAAGAATAAATATTGTAAGTGTGACAGCAGCTTAGTCTGAAGATTCAGTTGCATATGAGAGGCTTATTTTTCCTCTTGGTCATAGTTGTTCAGAGCTTCTTTTTTCTTTTTAGTTTAAACTCATATCCCAGGCATATGAAGTTCTGTCGGACCCAAAGAAAAGGGACCTCTATGACCAGGGTGGGGAGCAGGCTATTAAAGAAGGAGGCCTGAGTGGCGGCAGCTTCTCTTCACCCATGGACATCTTTGACATGTTCTTTGGTGGTGGAGGCCGAATGAATAGAGAGAGAAGAGGTACACAGTTCTAAACAAGTTCTAGAAACTCTAACCATGCACTTAAGCATAAAACACCCGTGCTGTAGTACTGCTGTTCTGCTAAGTGCACATAGTATGGGTTTTACTAGCTAAAACAATAGATGAAGTAAACTATAATATTAGTTATTCTAGTAGCGAAATTAAGTAGATAACATGATGTAGCTATTAGCAATCTTTCTGATGAGTTGTGCTTTTTTTTTGTTGTTGTTAAAATGGGTGAGGGTAATCTCGAGGGGTGGGGGAAATGGTGCTTGAGACGGCTAGCAGATGGGTTTTAAGTTATCTTCTTTCCAAATCTGTGCCTCACTTGCTCATGTGCTTTGGGCAACTTGCTTCAAAGGACACCATCAACTTAAGCTGAAGCTGTTCTAAATCTAAATGGAAAAGATTTGAGAGAAATTGTGATGCTGAGCATATAATGCTGCCAAAGCACAATCGCTTCTTTTCATTTCCAGTGTCTGCTGGAAGAGCGAGTAGTAACTTGCTATAAAGATTTTGAAACTATGCTATGAAGTGGCATGGAAATACGTAGGTAGGCCTAATAGGCATTTCTAATTTGAGTAGATCTGAAGCTGGTAGTGTCCTTGCATCTTTTTCCTTTCAGTTAAGCTTATGAAATCGGGGCAAGAGTAGGGATAGAGTGGTGTTAATGATGCTTTGCTTAACTACAGCTAAACTTTATGTTCTGACTTAAGTGGGTGCTGCTCAGTGGAAGCTGATAGCACCTGCTTTTAAGGGGCTGAGCTCTGTTCCAAGTCTGGAATTAACTCTGTTTCTTTAGTGAGACTGCATGTACGAACAAGTATAGAGCCTTTAAATAAGCATTAGTCTTCTGAGTTGCTGAACCAGAATTAATCTGTTTTTTTTTTTCTTTCTCTAAGGCAAGAATGTTGTGCACCAGCTAGGTGTATCTCTTGAAGACTTATATAATGGTGCTACAAGGAAACTGGCACTGCAAAAAAATGTTATTTGTGGGAAATGCGAAGGTAAAATAAGTAGTGGATTCAAACACCTTTTATTTCATGATTCTTTCAAAGAATGTAGTGGAAGATTAACAACTAAGTGGATCTTCTCTTTTCTTGAATGTTTATCAGTGTACTTGCTTCTTTGCACTGCTTTATGCCAGTGCCTAGTCAAGAGCAAGGCTGTCTTCCTAAACACAGTGGTGTTAAGCTATTGATCTAATGGTAGACTTGATGATAACTTTCAGGGAGTTTTTAAATACCTTAATTAGAAGCTTTAATAGCTAGCTGGGTTTTTTTCCTTGAATCATTGTGGGTAGAAGGCTAGCTTCAATTATGCAACTCATTTTACAGCTCTTAAGTATCATGATGTCTGGTCTTGAGGTTAAACTTAATGCGGTCTTGTGTTGTAGTACTTAATTAAATATTTTGTAAGCAAGTTCTTTCCAGGGTGTTTATGGAATATTCAGCTCTGGAATGCTGTATGTTGATAATAGAAAACAAAAATGTATTGGGGGATAGAGGGGAAAGATTAGTGCATAGGTACCTTGACTGCTTTATGTAGAAATGTTTAATTTGTGAGGCGTGTTTGTCATAGAAAGTATATATAATTACACTGGAAATATGTTACAGAAGGACTCTGAGTTACTCTAAAGGTTCTCCTGAAGTCAGTGAGTTTTAGCTTGACTACTTTAGACTAATTCTGGTCTTTGAAATATCTTTAACTACTTCTTGCCGTAGGTTATGGTGGAAAGAGAGGTGCAATAGAGAAGTGCCCTGTGTGTAAAGGAAGAGGAATGCAAGTTCTTGTTCAGCAGATAGGGCCTGGCATGGTACAACAAATCCAAACTGTGTGTCCAGAATGCAAAGGCCAAGGTGAAAGAATAAATCCAAAGGACAGGTGTGACAACTGCAATGGATGTAAGGTTGTAAGAGAGAAAAAGATCATAGAAGTTCATGTTGACAAAGGTGAGAACTGAGTATTTGTTTTGTATTCTCTACTCCCAGTCCGATAGATCTGCAGAGAATAAAGTGCTTTCTTTTCCTGTAGGTATGAAAGATGGTCAAAAGATAGTGTTTCATGGAGAAGGTGATCAAGAGCCTGATCTGGAGCCTGGTGATGTCATAATTGTGCTTGATCAAAAGGATCATGGTGTTTTTCAGAGACGAGGCCATGACTTAGTTACAAAAATGAGAATTCAACTCTCAGAGGCTTTATGTGGTTTCAAAAAGACTATTGAAACTCTTGATAACAGAGTCCTTGTCATATCATCTAGACCAGGTAGGTCTTCAGAATTCTGATGACATACAAAATGCTTGTTTGATTATGCTGTCTGTTCTTAATCAGCTGCTGCAACAAACTATAATTATGCTTGATTTAATTCAGGATTGAAGAGTGACAACTAAATATTGCATGTGGAATTACAGCTAAAGATGTCAAATGCTTCTTACGAAATCTCCAATTATGGGATTTAAGTTTATAAACTGTATTAGATCATCTGCTTCTCTTAGCACAGCCACCAGACTGAATTAGTTGACTTTATTTTTTACAGTAGATGAAATCCTCTTAAGGAGCTTATTTCAGTGTTCCTTTTATTCAGTTTGGTTTCAGTACTCTTCAATCCACAATTTTCCCTAGTCTCTAGAAAACTAAATGTTGCTTTTGATAGTTGAATTTCTGTCACATTAAACAATTCCCAACTTTTGTGTAGGTGAAGTGATAAAACACGGTGACCTGAAGTGTATCTACAATGAAGGGATGCCTATCTACAAATCTCCGATGGACAGAGGCAGCTTAATTATACAGTTTCTGGTAAGCAACTGCTTATTTACTGCAGCAAATGAATTGTTACCATCAGAAATAACTTCATTTTAAATAAATCCTAGGTCCAGTTTCCAGAGCAGCACTGGCTTCCAAGGGAGAAACTGAATATGCTGGAGGCTCTACTTCCTCCAAGAGAAGATGTCATGATTACAGATGAGATGGATCAAGTAGATCTTGAAGATTTTGACCCAAGCGAGCAAACCTACCGTAACAGTGGAGGAGAAGCATATGAAGAAGATGAGGATGGTCCAAGAACAGGTGTACAGTGTCAGACATCTTAAATTGAGGTGGAGTTGATATTGCCTAAAATGTAAATTTTCACAATGAAAACTGCATGGCTGTAATAGCCACTGCTTGTGGTCTTTGTGTTCAGCAAATTGAGTTGCTGCGCTGTCAGTATCACTTTTTTTTTTTTTGTAACTAATTTATATTGTGTTCTTGTCTTTATATATAAAGCAAAAGTCACACAGCTGAGAACCACCTGAGTTGGTATGTTTCCTTGTGCTTTGAAGGTTCTCAATTTATCTCACTGATGCTATTTATATAAGACTCACAATACTGGTAGAAGTTGAGTAGTGTCTTATGTAAATATTTTCATACTGAAAAATTAATTTCATAGAATAAAACATAGCAGAAGTTACTTCTAATAAATAGAACTTCACCTTTTGTTTTTTTTCCTTGTACTTCTTCAACCAATCTAGAACCTCTAAATAAATTCAAGTCCCTGCTCTCCTTTGTATGGTTACCTTTGCATGTTGCAACCCTGTTAGCTGTATTCCTCTTGTATATCAAGTGTTCTTTCTCCATAATAATCTTTTCCCTCTTCTCTACAATAGGCTAGTATTCTTTTAATGCTCAGCTTTATGTAAGTGTAACAACTTGCAGATCTACAACCTTAATCTGTATAGTGGCCTCTATGTGCTTCAGAATGACATACACCATAATGCTTCCAAATAAAACCAGAACTTAGGTTTTTGAGAGATCATACCTCAGCCTTTTCTAGAAAGTGTTGTTTCCTTTGAGCAGTAGGTACTTCAGCTTTGATTAAAATGAATATTATTACAAAGCTCCCTGCCTTGGCTATGCTACTCCCATTTCTAATACCATGAAATAGCATAGTAAAATGATGATTTATCCCTCTGAGCTGTTTTTCCTGCAGCAGAATCACTGAAGTCAGAGTTGAAAAGAGGTGTACTGCCCCTTACTGAGATTAAACCATGATCAGGCACCTGTCACCATACAATTATTGGAACAGCTGTTCAACTTAAATGACCCTCTCTCGCTTTCAGGAGCAATGGGAAGATGAGTAAAGCATATCCTAATGTCTGTCACTTTCCCTTCTCCTAAAATAAGTTTGACCAGCTTGAACAACAATTTCTAGCTCTCATCTATTTCTGTGAAGGCAGGGAACAAATACCAGTGGTAGATTAACTGAGCAGTTATTCTACATGACTGTATCCTTCTAAAAATGTTTCTCCAAAAATCACAAATTAATTGCAGTGGTAGCTTTTATTTTTAAAAAAGTAAAGCTTTCTCCCATGCTAAATGGTATTGAATTTACAAATGATATTTCATCTCTTCAGCATTACTAAAATGCTTTTTTAATATTAAAAAGGTAATAATACAAGGACTGCAGTATTTCTAAGAAATGCCACAGCAGAAAACCAAAGCACTTAACTCAAGACACTTAAACAGGACAGTCATAAATATGGATTTCTTGGTCGTCTCCAACAGACACAATTTTGGACCCACTTCCATTATATTTCACACCCCAAACCTGCAAACAGGACATAAGGAAGATAATCAGGGAAGACAGTAAGGCAAAAATGTATTTGTCTTTGCAGCAAGTTATACTGACTAGAAGAAGCAAAAGAGGATCATTTAGGAAGGCCACACTGGAGCTGGTTCAGTTATACCTCTTGCTTTTAATAGCAGTGTGCCCTCTAGTTGTCTGAAAAGGCTTTACTTTCCCACTGACCACAGATGATGCATCCTCTTCAAACTACCAGTGTGTACCTGCCCCTGTTTGAAAATGCTAGGCTTGATTTATGTGCTCTTAGATTGCTTTCTTGAGGAGTCTACAATAACAGTACAGGCACTTAAGGATGAAGTCTCAAGTATCAAGGATGCTTATCGAGCTTTTATAATAGTTCCCCCTTACACATCTGTGTGCTGTCTGAAGTCGTAAGACCACAGACAAAGATAAAACAATAGGGCTTGATAAGAATTCCTTCAGCCATCTGGGATTGTCCTCATCTGATCCTCTAAAAATGAGTTGCGGAAGACATCTATCTATATCCTTGAAATATTAGTTTGATATTAAGTATCTAAAAATTACTAACAATTTGAGGATTTCATTATAGCAAGATGAAGACAAATCCCAAAGCTATAGTTCTAATTTTAAACACGAGTGCAGATAATTGCACACCTTAAGTTCTCCTGTTAAGATGGAGACTTAAAGCAAGAGTAGACAGAACAGTTTTAAGTTGCTAACATACCTGGTCTTGGTGGTCAAAGAAAGTATGAACACAGGTTCTTGTTCCAGCATCCCAAACTTTCACACTTTTATCAGATGAACTGAAAAGGTAATATTGATCTAAATTAATAGATTAACTGCAGTTCAGTAACAAAGACACATGTCTTCCAGCAGGTTCCAGTGACCTATAAAATACATTCACTGGTCCTGTATATGCAAGATAAAATTGAGGGTTCCCATTTTAGCCAGAAAATTCTTCCAAGATCCTTGATACAAAGATAAAGAAATGCATGTTATGTAAACCCGGGTCACCTTGTCTGAGCTGTCTGAAGAGTTGTTACTCCACTAGATCAACATGTAATACTACATTGGATTGTACTTGGTTTTTTTTAATACAACTTTTCAGATCTCTAGAATCAAATTGCTCATTTAGAGGTTCAGATGTTTTTCACTTTGAGGGAACTACACTGCACTGGGATGGCTTACCCTGTTCAATTGCTACTATGTTGCAGATTGTCTCCTGAGCCTGTTGTTGGAATGTTCCAACACAGCTACTTCATGATCCATCTCTCTTTATAATTCTTTTTTTTTTTTAAATAAGCATAAAGGATTTTAAATTCGTTAGTACCTGGAAACAAAGTGGGTATCATCAGGACAAAATGCTACATTTAATACCCAGGATCCATGACCGCTCAATGTGCCAGCCAAGTTGGCATGCTGTCTGTAGAAAGAACAAATTTAGAAAACAGAATTATAACATCAATATTTGCCTTCTTTCCCTCCAGGGAAAAAGCGATCAGCTCATACTGTGCTGTTACTGTACTCCCAACAGTTCAACAGAAAGATTACAGAGGGTGACTTCTGGACATTTTTTCATCCAAGCAGAATGGTGTTGAAATAACTTTTTTTTTTTTTTTCCATTTCAAGAGTTAAAAAGAGGCCACTAAAAAGATGCATAGGTGGAAGAAGCAGTTGGACCTGAAAAACTTCTATGAAGAAGGCACAGTAATGCAAGCGTAGGGGAGCGAAGATCACTGAGGTGGTTGGCATAGTGCAAGAGAAAAAGGTCATATACAATATCATTTCTTGGGTACACATGTTTAAGATAATACACAGGACAGATACACAAAGCAACCTGTTCCTTACAGGGACAAATATGAAAAAAGTCATTTGTTTGCAAGCTAAGGCTGCCATTCACCTAAGTGCTTTGTAAAAACTGGAGGATTTGTGTTTTAGTACTTAAGGTTATTTATTAGATAAAGTGATCTCCAAGAGCTGGACAGGATTACCAAGAGTGGAGAGTTCGGTATATTTATTACAGCACTGGCCTTTTAAAGTAGTTACTTCACTGTTACCATGTGTTGCAAAATGCCAACTCACACATCGTAGATTTTGATGTAGCCATCATCTGAAGCCGTTACAAGTAACTGAGAGTCTGGAGAAAATGTCAGGGAACGAATAGGCATCGCATGACCTGAAATTGAAGCATTCATGGCTTACAAAGTAGCTCTTCAGCTACTAATGACAGCAACAGTAAGGAGTTATACCAGAACAGCACTTCTAAAACAAAGCAACCTCTCTGCTTTTGCTTCTTCATATAACATACAGTGTAAACTGGCGGTAGTTCAGAGCTTTGAATGCTGAGGCATGTCTACACCAACACAAAAGTACCCTCCTGTTCTCACAGCTGTGGATCTTAATTAGAAGCAATGTAGGAAAACGTACAATTTTCTGATCTCACACTGCTTTCTAATAGGACGAGCATCATACTTTCTAACATGATTTCGTCATGTTTGAAGTTGTTGGGCTCTATTATACACTGGACACAACTGCATGAACATTAAAAGCACATTTATCTTAAAAATGTGCATCTTTTACAACATGTTCAGTTGTTTTCTCTGACACCTTAAAGAGAAGAAAAAAAACCACATGCACAGTAGCACAATTTGCCTCATTTGTGCAATACACAACTGCACAACAGAAGAAGCAACTGCAGTCTAAAAACTGAGTTAAGCATTACTGATAGTTACATTTTAAGGTAGGCATTTATACTACAAGCCTGAGTTTATATTACGTGTTAGAATACATTATATAAATAAGATCTAATGGAAAAGAAACATCATTTATGCCATGGCTGTTCTATCTGATAACATCTTGTTAAATCCCTCAATTTTCTTGAGTGAAACATTAACTTAGATAATGCAAATACACAACTCATTACCTTCTAGCGTGTGCAAAAGTTTTCCAGTTGCAATATCAAAAATATTGATAATGCCATCTATTGCTCCACTGGCTAAGTATTTTCCATCTGGGCTCTGTAAGACAAGACAAGAAGAGTGCATTTAACAGCTGTAAGAATTCCTGCTATGTACCTCCCCAGTGCTCTTGGCACCTTGTCACAAAGTATGGCTGACAATGTTACATAGAAATTAGCTGAAGGAAGAACAAAATCTGATTGACAACATATTACAACATATTTCACGTAAGAAATTAACTGTGTTTCTTACATATGCAATGCTAAGGATGAACTTTCCTCTAGTGTCCAGAGAATATTCTTTTTTTCCAGTTTCAACACCGAAAATATTTACTTTTCCCACATGACTTCCTGTTGCAAGGAACTGGGAATCAGGTGAAAAAGCCAGGGACCAAGCATCAACTGTATTAAAAAAAACAACAGCAAAACATTCAGTTATCTGAGTACTTCTGCTGGTCCTTATCCAACGATGTCAGTTCTGGATGCATACGTGTGTACTATTCTTAATACTCCAAACTCCACTGAATAACAGTGGACCAGCTCATTAATGTTAACTTCCTTCTGCATAATTAATGCAGTGCAGCACAAAATGTTTATTTCAGTTTAGTAAAAAGTGCTATTTTCTTCCAAGATCTTGGTTTTAGAAGCTCCTCCTGTAACGACAGGTTTAGAATTAAGACTGAGTGAAGTCTGAATTCTTTTCTCCTCGTGACAGAAGATACTAAGCCAGTGAAAGAAAGAAATGCTAGCAGTTAGCAAAGCACTGAAGACACAGGAGAAAGATGCAGATAAAAGAATGTAACATGGATCAACATGCCTTGTGAGTGAATTAAAAAACCTTCTGAGAGTTAGGTAAGGTGTTTACCTGGCACAATGTAAGTCAGGCACTTCTACAGGCCTGCTTATTAATTTATTAATAATTTGTTAATTACCCAAAGCACTCAAAAATTGTTCTTAAATAAAGGATTTGCCGGTGGATCAATGACATATTTAAAATAAGACAATAATGAAATAATCTGCATTTCAACTTGGAGAATGCAACATCGATCAACAGGCTTCAGCTTTACTGTAAATTGACTTGCTCCTTTAGGCCTGGATGTACTGCAGAAATAAGCATCACATATACAGCTCAAATTCAATGCACAACTAGATGTCAATAGCAAGTTCAGACTTTATAACCAGTCTGAACTGTGATTTTTTTTTTACATATCCTTATATATGTGTAAGAACAAGGTGGATTCCATTTTGCTTTATGTACCTGTATGGGAACTGCTGAGTCCCAGCCTGCCCCACTGATGGAGACCTGTGGGAAGGACCCGGTCAGCCCTGGGAGCACAGGTGAAGGCAATGCAGCTGTGTGAGCAGGAGTGGAGCCTGGCTGCACCTCTCTCAGACCCCATTGAAGGGCTGACTGCCACTGGGGAAGGATCTCTTCCTGGAGATCCTCCTTGGTGGAGCTTTTCCCTGTGAACCTGGAGTCTTCTGATACAAGTGAGCAATCTTCCCTTCCTTTATAGCACCTTTCTATTGTGCCAATCCTTTTGTCATTACCCCTCTGGTAAACCAGCTTTTCCCATCATATTGATTGGTCCAATTGTTACAGTATCTACCAAAAAGTGTATCAAGTGTAAGCATTAATAGTGTGTAAATGTGAAACTGTGCAATACTACTTTGTGATGAATTGGTAAAAATCATTAAGAATTTAAGATTTTACAAGAAAGATTAGGAAAAAATTCCAGTCATCTCTTGTACTCTAGTTATACATTGTCCAGTATTTACCACCTGGTGTTAGTACACATCTTATAACACAGACAGTGTAACAGTGGTATCTTACCAGGGCCAGCATCTATTGACTTGATCTGTTTGCCAGTTTCTAAATCCCAAAGGCGAATGTGGGCGTCTAGGGAGCTGGATGCTGCGATGGAACCCGTGTGGCTGATATCCACAGACACCACACCTAGCTGGTGACCCTCCAACGTCCATTGTAGATCCAATTTTTCATCATTCCTTTTGTCACAGGGGGAAAAAAAAGTTATGAATAGCTGAGGGGTGCTTTATCAGTCTCAAACCTCAGACAGAACAATCAAACAAGATGACCCACAGTTCTCCATTTCGGTCAGGCAGGGGGCAATCTAAGTGAAAAGCAAAGACAGAAATGCACAAATTGTCTATGGTACTCAAAGGAAAGAACCAACAAATTAATTATTTACCATATTTATGCAAAATAAGTACTTCATTTTGCATTTCTAAGTATTCCCACAGAAATCACCATTCCACAGCAATATATGAGTACTTACATTACAGACTTCATCTGCCACCGTAACATGAAACGACGACAAACACTTTTATAATATCACAACACAGCAACTCAAGTAATTAAAGTGAAGCACATATCTGTCTTCTTATGACTTAGGGAGAGAAAAAATTCTTTGCTGTAGTACTCATCAGTGCTACTTTATTAGGATTATGGATTTATTCTTTTTATAAGACAGAAAGATGACATTTCCTTTTTTTATTTTGCTCCCATTATTTGTTTCACAGTAGACACATTCCTTCCCCATGCATTACCTCAAAAAGTTGCATTTCTAATTCTTTGGCTTCAAAGTGCAACAAGTCCTACCACTATGTGGTAAAAGACATAGAAAATGTGATGTGTGTTTTCAAAAGGGTTTGTGTTCTTAAAAATGTGAAGCATCCCAGAATGCTACCACTATAAAAGAAAAAGATAAGGTCTGCTCAAGAGAAGAGCTGTATGCCATGCTACCCCTTCCCTGATGTAATTTCTAACATCATAGAGTAGAATCATAGAATCATAGAATCACCAAGGTTGGAAAAGACCTTCAAGATCACCCAGTCCAACCGTCCACCTACCCCCAATAGCTCCCACTAAACCATGTCCCTCAACACAACATCCAGCCTTCCCTTGAACACCCCCAGGCTCGGTGACTCCACCACCTCCCTGGGCATCCATTCCAGTGCCTGACCACCCTTTCTGAAAAGTAATACTTCCTAATGTCCATCCTTGCAGCCTCTGCAAATTTAAGACTGCTGTAACTCCATACCAACTACTGCTCATAGCATCCAATACAAAGTACTTCACTTACCACTTCCAGACCTTCACGAGATCATCCAAAGAACCAGAGATCACAGTTTCAGAACCATCTTTTTTATTCTTTCCCCAGGCAACTGACCAGATGGCATCATCATGAGCTAAAAGAGAATGAAAGTATTGAAACTAGAAGTTAAAGTATTTTCTTTTGATGTAAGACAGCAACCAGTTTTTACTTCCTGCAGAGCAGATAGGCCAATGAACATCTTGATGTGACACAGTTACATGCCTGAGGCAAACACAAATACAGACTGTGCCTACAAAAGGGAGAATTGCTAAGCACATGCAGAAGCAATATTCTACACACAGAAAGCTCCAAATAAACAAGCCTAATGCAAGAGGAGCATCACCTCAATGCAGACCCCTTCTTTATTACCCTTCTCACATAGATATCTGTATCTTAATCAATGATACAATTGCAATAATTCTGTTGTTATCTAGTTTACAACAAGACTTTAGCTCTGACTGGAAGCTCCAGGAGGTCCCATCCCATTTTTCTGTTTTGTTTTTTGATTATTTTATTTCCTTATACCCTAACCCTGCCATTGTTACTCATACTGCTTACTCTCCTTGTCATCTTGTTCCCTGTCTCTCTCTCTCAGTTATGTGATACTGCTACTTCATGGGCTGTCTCCTAATTAGCATTAATTACCATGTAAGTTGTTTAATAGCCCTTAGGTGTACTAAAAGAGCTAAGGTTATACTGTCCATCTCCTGCAAGCTATCTGATGAAGACACAAGAATCATCCAACAAGACAAACTTTAAACATGTTCAGAGTTAATTTTTACAGCAGTTACTCCCAGCAGATTGGAAGCTCTATTGCATCTTGAAGTACTTTGTTAAAAACAAAACAGATCCTTCCCCCCAGCAAGAAAATGAAAACAGGAAATTACTCTTCTTGTGTGTGTTGTTTTACCATTTTAAGACTGCATGTCCCAATATCTGTATCCTAGTAGAAAATTTTACAGAAGGAAGTTTTATCAGGCAGAAATCATGGTGGCTCTGATCCTAAGTCTACTGCACCTGCTGCTGCAGGAACACACCACTGCAGCCACAGTGCCTGTACACCTTTCCCAGGACAGCTTCAGAATGCAGGAGAGTCCAATCAGCAAAACAAGTCGCCCTGTTGCTGGTCAGGAAGAGCTGCCTGCTGTGCAGCAGCAGTAACACCCGGCTCTCATTGCTCTGAACACAACAGCTATTTTGTCTGCTGCTGAAAATCTGCTCTGATGTACACATAACATGGACACCCTTAATGATCTCAGTGGCAAATCTGTTCTACAACACCCGAGGAAGCCAGAATTAAGAAGTACAAGTTAGTGCCTTCTCACCTTGTTCTTGCTTGAAGAGAATACCATACTAGAAAGAAAAAACAATTGGTATTACGCATAAACAGCCTAAAAATCCATCCGAGTAGCGATCAGTTTGAGTAACGCCATGTTTCGATTTACCTGTGTGGTCATGTCTGCGAGGAAGCGACCTCAGCAGGAAGGCTCTGGAAGGAGAACATCCATTAGGCGCGACACGCACGGATAAAGGCCCGAGGGGCCCTCCTGTCACACCCCGCCCGCCTCACCCCGCGCGGCCCTCCCGGATCGCTGCCGCATTCACCCCCGTCACGGCGCGCCGTTACAGTACCGTGCCGTGCCCCCACACACAGCTTCCGGTCGCCACGGCTGTCGCCGCCGTCGCACACTGATGAGGTCACGTACCACAGAGAGCGCGGCAAGAGCGCCCCATCCCGCGGCCTTCTTCCACGCCTCGACCATAGAGCGCCGCCGTGTGGTGCCGCTGAGCGCGGCTCCTCGCGCCCTAACGGTCAGCGCGCGCCTCCCTCACGGGGCGGCTGTGGGAGCCGAGAGGCTGAGCGCGCGGGTCTGTGCTCAGCCGCTGCGTTGCGCTGTGCGCTTCGCAGGTTCCTTAGCTGGTCACACCGAGACAGCCAACGTTACGTGAGGAACCGCCCGCTGGCCTTGCAGCTGTCCTAAAGCATTTTTTGGACGGCGTGGACATAACTGTAGCGCCCTTCAGTGCCATCCCGGCTGTTTCCGTCAGCCCCAAGCCCGCCTCGCCGCGGGCCGCTGGCTCACCGCATAGCAGCTCTGCCCCGCGCCCTGGGGCTGCGGTCAGAGCGTTGTATTTATATGTCCTCATCTCATAACTCACACCAGGATTTACCATTCAACACTTGCCCAGCCTTTCTCAAAAGCCAAATTTATCAAGATCTCAAGGTCAACCAAACCTCCCTACAGCATAAAGGTAATACAGTTAATTAACTGTGAGTTTCTGCTCTGCACTTAGGTGAGCACTACAACACTCAGCTGTTGTCAGCCACATCAGCTCCTCTCCCTCGTCCATAGTAAATAATCCATTAAGTAGCGGGGATGAGAAAAGTGATAGTGGTATTTGAAGTTATCTGTGGCAGATAGTGGGAAAGCATAAGAGATGACTTGAGGATGGAACAACGTGGTCACCTTGGAAATGACTATAACACCACTGCCACCATAGGGTTCGAATGGATGACAGGTGCCTTTCGGGGCTGATCCATGGATTTCAGGTTTGGTTTTCCACAATAGGGTTCTGTGTAGAAACTGTAGTGCCTGCAGGCACTGCGGAAACAAAGAGCTGCCTCACGCAGAGCTCGGGGTCAGCATGCGGATTTACACCGTCTGCCCGTTGTGGGGCAGCAGCATCAAGACAATCTCCGCTCCTTGTGGTGGCAAAGGGTTGGCATTCACAGAGACACGTTAATCAGCTGATATTGCTGTGTTAGGGACTCTGAACAGTTGTGGCAAGACTCCTCGGCTTACATTGCCCAACGTGGCCCTCGGAAACTGCTGAGAGATTGTTTTCCTGGGAGTGAATTGGAACTGTATTTGCAGTTTGCTCATGCATTTCAAGTACCTGTCCCCTTCATCAAGTTCCACAAAGACAGTTACACATAGAACGTACACTTTTTCCTTGAAAGACAGTTATATGGGAACTGCTGAGTCCTAGCCTACCCCACTGATGGAGACCTGTGGGAAGAACCCAGTCAGCCCTGGGAGCACAGGTGAAGGCAATGCAGCTGTGTGAGCAGGAGTGGAGCCTGGCTGCACCTCTCTTAGACCCCATTGAAGGGCTGACTGCCACTGGGGAAGGATCTCTTCCTGGAGATCCCTCCTTGGAGCTTTTCCCTGTGAACCTGGAGTCTTCTGATACAGGTGAGCAATTTTCTTCCCTTCCTTTATAGCACCTTTCTATTGTGCTGTTCCTTGTGTCATCACACCATTGTTGTAACACCTTTCCCACTGTGTTGACCTGTCTAATTGCTATGTATGAGCATGTGTAATCCACCCATCAGCACTGTAGCATGTTACTGTCACGACACTAGAGAGAAAAGCAAGAGTCACAGGCAGTAAGATCTGAATTGCAATCTACAGTTCCACTTTTGAAATGAGTCCAGTTGTGTACCTACACGCTGACACTGTTTTAGGCTTGCACTTAAATGCTGAACTGCTTCTCTAGCAAGGAAGAAAGCCTTTCCATACACTCATTCAATAATCAGTGAGTTCTTTAGACAGCCAATAGAGGAAAAGAAAATCAAAGCTGCCAGAACTGAGCCAAACGGGAATGAAAATAATGCTTAGCACTTGCAGGTACAAATCTCTCTGACCAGCACTCTGCTGTTCTACCCCAAATTATCTTTGTAGGGTAATGGCAAGAAGACAGTTTGGCCTGGAAAGCACTTTCCTTTAAAATGAATGAGGTGAGCAGAGAGATTGGAGTGACTAAACAGCTTCTTCTGGGAAGAAAAGAGGAAAGTAAAACAGCTAATTAAGCCAATAAATCCTAAAAACTAGACTTCCTCCTCAGAAGCAACCTTATCCCCACCATTGCCTGAAGAGCAGCCAGAATGTTTAGATGTAATTTCAGGCCTTTCAATCTCCAGGTCATAGTGTTTATGATAACTGACTCCAGCCATTGCTCTCACTTTGTCTTCTCTTCCTCCTTGTTGGGAAACTTCAGTTCTTCCTTCAAGTATTCGCTGCGCTTAATCAGAATTACTATATTTTATTATTGATTTTGTTCTCTCTTGTAACTTCTCTGTTGTTTTTTGTTGTTTTTTTGTTGGGGGGAGAGGTGGGTCAGAGAGAGTTTCTTAGAGATCCACATGAGCCTGAAATGTTGAATGAGTATATAAAAATCAAGTATGATAAAAGAAACATCTGGTGTTCGTTTATTGGGATTGAGCTGAGGGACAGGGAGGAAAAGAGGAGTTTTCCTCACCTGCTGTGGAACATCCTCAATTCCATGGATTTGTTCTCTGCCTGACCAAGTTTTTCACAGTTCATTACAGATAAAGACATGATGGTTCCAATCTCAGGGTATTTGCTTGTAAAATGTTACTGATTTTATACTCCTCATGGATTCTCTTTATAAGGTAACAGTCCAGTTAGCTGCTTGAATTGGTTTGAAACCTACTTTTTATTGGAGAGAGGAGCTGAAAACTAACCTGGCACTGTAGCATCTCTGTATCTCTAACAATCTTTTTAATATGAAAAAAAACTTTTACAGCACCAGATGTGGAGAATGCAACTCTGACTGTTGAGAATAATTAGTAAGAAAACTCAAATCAGTCCCCTTCATCTATTGGCAGCTGATGGAAAGCAGGTTTGAAGTAATTAGCTTAGATACGTTCAGAATATTTTCAGAAGTTGGACTTAGTGTTCGTTCCTATATTTTTGTGTCACTGTCTAGAATGTATTTACATAATGGACACTTGGATCTCCGATGCCTGGTATCCATTGGCATGGTTTACTGGCAGGCAGGCTACATGGACCCTCACTTGGCTCAACCAGCCAATTACTTTACCACTTATCTTCATGTCACTGCCTCTCTTTGTTACTGCAGCCTTCAATGCCACTTCTGTCTTCATCAACACTGTTCCATTCATGCTGTTTGCTTTGATGACTCTGCTGGGCAACCTCTTTCGTGTCCCAACCTCCTTGAGAGAAAGCCTTATTCTTCCTCAGTTTGTTTGCCTGGCTCCCAGACCCTTGTGAGTCAAACTGATGGTATTAATTTTACTCAGAGGAGCTACACTGGAAGATAAATGCCAGTGCTCTGCATGCCCTGGCTCCTGTGGAAGTCAATGGGAGGAAGACTAAGCATGGCACACCATCAAACATTACATTCAGCTACCGCTGGACGGGTGCTTCAATGAGATAATGTACATTCACTAAATCTTTCTGTTGTCTGTATGCTGTGGAAGCCCATTTTGCAGTGGTGCTACATCATACTATTTCTGTGCAGTGAGAGCAGGTTTTCTTGGCTTACAGATTTTACCAGGTCCTGAGCACAAGTTCCAGTGCTCTATGCACTCCATCTGTAAATACCTCATGGTGTGCTCTGTGCTTTCCTCTGTTGTGAGCTCCCATCATGACTGCTTTGTTCGCACCTGGCATTGTACCACCCATAGGTGCTTCATATAATGAAAGAAATCCCGAATTCCAGTGTGATGACTGCCTGTGTTTAGTGATGCACTAGTAAGAGAAGTGGAAGCATGGCATGGAGAAATCATAGATGTTATATATGAATTGATCACTGCGTAGGTCCCACGTGATGTATCCCTTTATAGTGTTAGCCCCATTGAACCTGCTAGCTCAGGAGTAGGCTTAGAGGTGCCAAGGGTGAAGAATCCCTCAATGTGGCCATTGCAGCATGTTTGGCAAGTGTTAGGCAGGTGGTCTTTGCTCCTCTCAGGAGTTTGTACCTTCTGCATTTATTTGAAAGTTACGAGTCTGTGCTGCTGTGCTGAACTGTGTTTGGTTTGTGACCCAGCTAGTTACAGCTCTTGGTGTTTCTTAATGGAGGGATGTACAGCATTTCTGTAACAACACCTCAGCCAGGAAAATGTTTGCCAACTGACCCCAACTTCTGCAGTCAGGAATGAAGAAGGTGATCTTTTAGGCCCTGGCAATACAAATTTAGCCAAGTGCAGTCATTAGCTCTCATTTACTAATCCTAGATCACGTTTTGGTTGCTGGCAGTGATTGAAAGATCATTATTTGAAGTGCTAGAGCCACCATAAATACAGCTGGGATATTTCAAAAAAATCAAACATCAATCACCTGCTGTTTCTGCACGCTGCCTTCTGTGCTGGGTTTCAGCTTCCAGGGAAGGGAGTAACGTGCATGAAATGGGGGGTAGTGCACAAAAGCTGAAAAGGCCATTTCGTGTGAACTGCAGACTGGCTTTGAAACCTTTAGTCCTGGAAAGCTGGAATGTAGTCATGTTCAGCCTAACTGTGGAAGTGACAGCGTCTGCCTTGGACAGTTATGCTGTGTGTGCATACAAGTCTCCCCCTGAGCAAATCACAGCGAGACCAGCTGCTGTTCTGGAGAAGGGATGCTCCTGGTCTTGATGCACGTGTTAATAGAAATGTTGTAGCATTGCTGGTAAGGTGCTAATTTAAAGAGAAGCAGATTGTAATTACAGGTTTCAGTGGAACATATTGCCTAAGACTGATGCGGGAGGCTTTTCGATTGCGTTTAGCAAGACATATATTGAATTTAAGAGCTAGATTTCCTCCAAAAGCAGGACAGAATCCATCTGTTGTACAGTGAGTCTGTAAGGATTTCACAATTGACCTCCTTCAAGAAGATCTCAACTTGCTGGGTAAAGGCAATCTGCTTTGCCATCTACGTACTGGTGTCTGCACAAATTCTTTTTATTGTTGCTTCCTTTTTTTTTTTAAGCATGAATTGGGTCACTTTCCAGTCTTCCTGCATTAGGGCACAGTGACAAAATCTGATGTGACAGCTGCCCAGCGTTCTGATGTTTCCAATCAGGAGGTGTGAGGCACTGAAGAGAGGCTCTGCCCTTGGAGGAATTAAATCTCTTGGGAAAACAGTCTCAGGTCCTTCCAAGTGTTTTGGTGGCTGACTTTCCAGCAAATTGCTGTTAGCCTCATTGGACTGCTTTGATTAGTAAAGCAGATCTGAACTTCCTGAGACTGCTACTGCTGTCTTCCTTTTGCCTGCTTCTCTGTGGTGAGGTCTAGCTGGTGCAGGTCACTTGTCTGAGATAAGAGGAGACAAGCTGAACAGAATGTGCAAGCACTGAGCCCCAGGGAACCAACACTTGAGTGTGTTCAGTTGGAGAGGAGAGATGGGGGGGAAGACAGAGGGGAAAAATGCACAGGAGCAGAGCTCTCTGCTACCCATATCATGGCTGCACTTTGCTCTATGGGACCTGCAGTGACAGAGGGGAGTAATCATCATCAGGATCATAATTATACACCTGCCTCTAAAGCTTGTGGAGTCTAATTAAGCTACTACAATATTCATTTTTCTGCCTTGATGATTTGCTTTTGCTTGTAACCATTCTTCTGACTCATTTGCCCAGACTCTTCTGTTTCACATCTTTATCATGGGAAGACAATTAACTCATACTTAACTCCAAAGACCTTTATAGCTAACACACTGTAGGAAGCTTATAGCTAAGAGCTCTGGCCCTTTTGTCATCTATCACTCAGTGTAACAGGTTCTGCAATAATCACAGTAGCAACAGTTGAGTGTCAAAGTTGGCTTCTCTTTTTTCACACACAGCACTGTGTTACTGCTGGAGTATTCTAGTTGGTTTCAGTGGGCAGACTTGAAAGTTTCCCTACAGTCCATTCTGAGAAAGGGTAGGAGAATCTTTCCCAAATTATTACTGGATAATAAATAATCTCCAGATGAAATGTTGGCTTGACTTCAAAATCAGTGTCTTTCTGAAAGAATAACAAGAACAGATGCATTGACGTGTTAACATGCATTACAAGTAAACAGATGCCAGTGCATGGACACCCTGACTGCTGTAACATCCCTCAGCTCCTCCCTTATTATAACTGGGGTAATAAACTGTGGGTAATTTGCATAATCCAATAACTCATAGCCGGTGACAACTACAATACTGCATCACGAGCTAATTTAGAAAGCTTTCACATAGTTTTAATATGTCAAATTGCTCAATTTTCATAATGCTCCAGGTAAAACTCTGCCTTTTATTAAAGCTTGCTTAACAGTGGAATCAGTCTTGTAGATAAAGTATGATTATTCTAGTTGTGTAGGACTGCACAGTTCTGTTTCTTGTGGGGAAAATGGTGAGGAGGTGCTGTGTACAGAAGTGTATATTGAAAGGAACGTGCATTTTGACTGGTAAGCCATTGGTACAGCAG